GGTCCCTACCTTCAAGGAGCACCCAGTCTAACTAAAGTCCAAGACTGAGTATGGTTAAGTTTGAAAACTGTCGTCTTCATATCTGCCGGTATTAAAAATAGAGCATTCAAGGACTTAGATATTTCATTAGAAATAATGAATGGTTGTGTGTGATTACATTACTTCAGGGATATGCTTTTGGTTTTAAAAACCATGAGTTTGAAGGCAATCCTTAAGGTCGTGGATTAATTTTTATTATTGGATAGACAACGATAGTTAAGTTCTCATAATACAGAAAATAAGGCTGGCAAGTTTGTAAGAGGTTTTGGCTTCTTTGTTTTCATTCTAGAGGTTAAATGAAATGTCTTATTTTTTGAAGCTAGTTACATTTATAATGGTATCGGCTAATAGTTTTATTAATTGTACTTTAATTTTTCAGTAAAATATATGCATACATTTGTGATAATAAAAATATGCATTTACTTACCATTTCTTAGGAAACATTTTTATGAGTCTCTGTGCCTTGGCAAATCAACAAAATTTGGAGTTTGAATTTTTCACTCAGCTGACTGTGTACTATATTGTACTATATTTGAAATGAATGAACCTCTTACTTTTCTTCCATGATATAAACTGTTTTGTAAAATCAGATGGAGAAGAAACTAATACTATGTTTGTGCTAGGTACTGCAGTAGGTATTGTACAGATTCTGTCCTGGTTTATTCGGTCACTAAACGTTTTGATCCCCAAAATTCTAGCTACATTTTAAGAATCCCCAGGTATCTATAGAGATAAAATTCATTTTTATCACACTTTAAATACCCTAAATTGATTTCTGTTTCTGTGGCTTGATTTGGAAATCGGGGGTTTCGTTTCCTTCCCCTGGCTAAGTTCCTGAGTTAATCCTTTATTTCCTGCTTACATAGTTGCTACAGTCAAGTTTCTTTCCAAGTTTTGTTTTTTTAGTGTGTTTATTTGGGCAGGGGAAGGCAATACATGTGTGTTTTATTGCCCAGCAACCTACAAGTATGAGGATAGGAGAGGATCCTTAAAGAGAAGCTCAGACCAAAGATATTTCTGAAAAATAAAAGCAGTAGCCACATGGAACAGGGTTAACGCATGGGTTTGCAAAAATTTGTTCAGCCTTTTTTGGTCTTTTGTATGATAAGACCTCTCTCTAGAAAATTAGCATCACAGGAACAATTATTTTGTCTATTTTGTTCTCTGTTATCCTGTCATCTGCACCTGGCACAGTGTAGGTGCCCAATAATGATTTGTTGACTGATTGAATCAATGAATGAATGAATGCGTGAATGAATGAATGATACATTTCACTGGCAGTTTCTGGTCTACTTTATTATATTTACTGAACTTTTTGGTTAATATTCTATTAAGTAGTGAGAGAAGAACTGGTATTAAAATGTGTAGTTTCTAAATGGTTCTATTTCTTGATTTTTAAAAATATCTTGGAAACTGTTTTTTTCCTATAAGAAATTATCTCAAATTATAAAGTTATTTATTTCTTGTGGGCAGGATGGGAGCATTTTATATCTCTGTAATACAGTGATGCCTATATATCTTTATTGCTCATGGTTCTTTTTTAGAAAAATCAACTTACGCATTTAAAAAATACTTGCACAATTTTTTATCTTCATAGAATTTACATTTAGGGAAGTTTTGGTTAGATGTATTTGAAGAGTACATGAAACAAAGTTTATTTTCCTCTCATAGGTTTGTCTAATGTGTCAGGATAGTTTAGGGTTATAAATTAGTAGATTTATATAATTTAGCTTAAGGTGGATTAAGTAGTTGTAAAGAAATTTTGAAATGTATTAGATTTTTAAAAATTGCTTTTCCTCAAAAGAAGCATTATGGGGAAAGGAATAATTTATATGCCTGTCAGAATTCTCCATTTTAATAATAAACACAATATACAGCATGTTGACTGTATTTAACAATACTGCATTGTATATTTGAAAGTTGCTAAGAGCGTAGAAAATGTTCTCATCACAAGAAAAAAATTTTGTAACTGTGAGATGATGGATGTTAACTAATTGTGGTAATCATCTTGCAGTATATGCATATATGAAATTATGTTGTTCACTTTAATACAATGTTATGTGTCAATTATGTATCAATAAAACTGAAAAAATAAGCAAATTTTTATTAGTAGTTCTTCTAGAACAGCAGTTCTCAAATTTTTTGGTCTCAGTAACCCTTTACACTCTTAAAAATCATGGAAACTTCAAAGAGCTTGTTTATGTGGATTATGTCTATCTATAGTTACTATATTAGAAATTAAAATGGATAATTTTTAAATATTTCTTAATTTATTTAAAAATACCAATAGATCTATCACATGTTAGCCTAAACATTTTTTATTTTAAAAAATATTTACAAAACAAATTTTAGTGACAAGAATGGTTTTGTTTTACCTTTTTTGCAAATCTCTCTGATGTCTGGCTTAATAGGAAACAGCTGGATTCTCACATCTGCTTCTGTTTAATATGTTATGATATCACATGTTACGTATCCTCTGGAAGACCCCACTGTACACTGACTGCACTGTACACTAGTGAAAGGATGAGGGTAAAAAAGACAAATAATATCTTGGTATTATTATGAAAATAGTTTTCACCTCGCAGACCCCCTGAAAGGGCCTCTGGGACCCCCGGGGTTCATGGCCCACCTTATGAAAACCAGTGCTCCAGAAGCTAGTGGGGTGGGAGGGTGAGTAGCAGTGGGGTGCGAACTTTGACCTTTTCTTTTATATATTTCTATGTTGTATTTGAATTTTTAAATAATGAACGTATGTTACTTTTGTCATTTTAAAACCCAAAAGAGAAAATGAAAGGGTGTGTGTAAATGAAAGACAATTATATCCTAAAAGAAGGTAACAAAATTTTTGTTACCTTCAAAATTGCTTCAACAATAGCAAAAAATTCTCATTTTAGTTTCTAGTTATATGATCTCTGAATAAATCTAAATTTCAAATTTAGCTGATATGTTTTAAATAGGATCGTATCCAAAATTTCAACATGAACAAGCAAATAATGCAAGTCGCAGGTTTGTTTCCATTTCATCTGTTAAGATCTGGACACAGACCACCAGTTTATCACACTCCATAGGGTGGCTTTGCTTTTGCCTCTCCCACAAAAGGCGCTGGCACCAAGTTTGGACACTCAGCCACATTTATCATCTTTCCTCTGCTAATTCAAGTGAATCTGGGAATGGAAAGAGCAGAGTCTCGGTTAATGCTTAAATTGTCCTTGGACACTATCGCTGTTAGATTAGGAATTCTTGCTAATCCCTGCCCAACTTTATATTTGGCCCCAAAATATCTGTTCTTATTTCTTCTGCTTCCTCACAAATGGGAGAAATAGGAGCAATTCATCAATCTTTCACCTCAATTATTCTCTTTTCCATAAATGACTAAAAAAATACATTCAGGTAGGATTTTAAAAATCTGTGGCCCGACCTCTTGTTTTCAAGGTAATAGAAATAACCAAAAGCTTGAAATTTTCAAAGAAATTAGAATAATTTGGCTCAGGTCAGTGTCATTTTCTTAATGAAAAAGCAAATAGTCATCTAATAGTTTCCAAGTGAGATATCAAAAAGTGACCTCAATAAGTAAATAAAATACCAACTTTGTCTAGTGAAACAATGAAATGTTATAACTAGAGTAAAAATTTTAACATTTCATTTTCCACCTATATCTGAATATTAACTCCATTGAGTTATTTCTTTGATATCTTTCAAATTTATCCCCCCATAGAAAGTACTTAATATTTTTTCCAAATGTACAGGTAATATCTATTGCATAAAAAAATTAGAAAAATATTAAGAAAAAATTAAAAATCACCTATAATCCCTTTGTATAGCAACCCTTGACATTCTGCAATGTATTTTGATTATATGTATAACATCATCGTATTCTATATACATTTTATAGCCTGATTTTCAGTTGAGAGAACATCATGGGTATTTTTCCCATATCAATAAACATAGATCCATGTTGTCATTTTGAATCACTGCATGGTATTTCCTTGTGTGTACTGTTCTCATATGTATTCAAATTTTTTTTACTATAATAAAATAATGCTTTAGTAAACATATCTGTTCTTATGTCTTTGCATACCTATCTGATTATATTTTTTAGGGTAAAGACCTAGCTGTGGAATTGCTGGGTCAATGAGGCATGTTCTTCTTTTTCTGGAGACTTTTTAATAAAATTGAAAAATTCCCCTTTAGAAAGATCATACCCAATTTATGCTCCCTTTCCCCCAACCCTGATCCTTGAATTGGACAGTTAAAAAAAATTATTATTTTGGTTTTCATTTCTTTGACTACTTCTGAAGTTTGTCAAATGTTCTGCATGAGTTGCCCATTCATGTGCTTTGCCTGTTTTTCTGTTGGAATCTTATCTTATTGATCTGTGCATGTTCCTTATAGTCTGTGTAAGAGACATCTACTGTTTATTGTACACTGATTGTTTTCTTCTCTGTGCATTTGAGAATTATTATATCATAATTATCATGATTATAATATAATTATATTTTAAGGATTATAAGAAACTCTAGAGACTTAAGTGGTGTTAAGGCTCTGGACTTTTTGACGTAGACCTTTCTTTTTTTCATCTCTTGCTGTTGGAGAGGTGAGCAAATATTTCCATGTAAGGCTAATTGGCTAAGTAGTAGATGTACCTTTCTCATAAAGTTATAAAAATGTTGAGACATACTCTGTGTTTTGTTTAATTGTGTGATCTCTGACTCTTGTTCGAAGACTGAAGCTCGAAGACTCTTGCTCTTGCCGCGGAGGTCCAGCAGCAAATCCCTAAGAGGGGAAAACTAAATCCTGTGCTGACATTTTTCCGGCTCTTGCTGCCGCCTTTGGCCTCCTCAGGAACTTGCCATTTTTCACACAGCTCCGTTTCTCCTGTGATCTGTGTGATCTCACCCCCGTGTCCATCCACAGGAGAAATGGGTTGTCTAACACTGGGCTCTATTTCCCTTTACTTTCAGAGTCTCCACGTGCTGGAGAGGACTGCTTCCTCCAGCACCGAGCCCTCCGTGAGTCGGCAGTTGCTAGAGCCGGAGCCGGTGCCCCTCTCCAAGGTCAGTGATGCGTGTGGTGCTTTCTCGGAGGGCGTGAGGATGCCCGTCCTGGGGCCAGCTGAGCTGCACAGTTCTTTCCCCTGACTCCCCTAAGGCAGCTGTGCCGCCCGTGGTAGGGCTGCTCTCCCACAACTACTACCATTATTGCCCATGCACGCATAGCAGGCGCTATGCTGAGTGCTTAAATACGTTATCTCGCTTAACGTAATCCTTATGAACAGCTCCATGCAGTGTAGGTATTTATTACATTTGACAAATATGGAAACCAGAAGTAACTTGCCCAAAGTCAAAAAAAAGCTGGAAAGTAGCAGAGCAGGGATTCAAACTTAGACTTGTTTAAGCTCTGCCCCACCTGCAGGGTAAAATACTACCTACCCAGAGGGGCTGTGGTACATTCAGAGTTCAGTCTCCTTCTCACATCTGGCTGTCCTAGCAGTGAGCTCTAAGGAGACACTGTAGATTATTGATAAAGACCTTTTCTGTTTCATGGAAGCCAGTGTTCCCTCCCTTTCAGCCTTCTCTTCCTCAGACTAAAGATCTAAATTCATTTATGTCTGAAATGCAAAAATCATTAACAAAAGTCAAGGCGATGCCATCCTACTCATCCCTACCGCCTGCTCGACTGAGATTTCCAGTGGGCTGGCTCCCCTGCTGAGAAACTCAGAAAATAGAATGCATGGGGATTTTGAATTCAAACATAAAAATAGCATTTTATTTCCAAAAAAGATTAACTTCTAAATAGGTATAACTGATCCATCCACTTTGCTTTTCCTGTATTAAACAGAATCCTTTGAGAACGCTCTACTGCCCTAGTGCTGTGGAATATGTACACTTGTACCTGTTATACTTTGAAGATGTTACAGGCTATAAAGTTACTCTATCAGACAGGAGTAGACTGCTAAACTGAGGAAAGGGGGAGTTATTAAACCATAAAAAATAACTTAGAAATACAAAAAATGATCTGATTTCTATTGAATGGCAAATAGAGAATGTCTACTTGGTAAATAAAGCTAGTAGTCTCTCTTTTATAGGCAGCTAAAGGAGAGAGAGGATAAATAACTTATAGGGGCAGTGGGAGAAGCAGCTGGCTTTTATTGAGCCCTCACTTTGTGCTGGGCACTGGAGGGGTACACATATTCTCTCACTTCACCAACCCCTGACTCAATGAAGTGAGTGCTGATATGATTCTCATTTCGTTGATAAGGAAACTGAGACTGGAGTGTAAGTTGTCCAGAGTCAGATAGCTGGGAAATGTGTGACAATTAGAGCAGAGGGAAATAGAGACCATGGTAGTGAGAGAGACACAGACAAAGGAAGACTTGGAGAATGAGACACAGAAATAGAAAGGAGAGGTGCTGATATTAGAACAACAAATAAGGAGCAACACACACACGACACTCGCTCTGGCCCCTCCTGTCCCGCCAGCTGCATCTCTAGCCTCGTTGGCATCTTGCTTTATACTCCAGCACATCCCCCTGCGCACAGTGCCCTACACTGACCGCGCTCTCTCTCCTGCACTGCTGGGTGTCTGCTCCTCCTACACTGCCAGGAATGCTCTCCTGATCTGCTCCCCTTCCTTCACCAGCTAAAACGCTGACTCTTCTTTTAAGTTAGGCCCACAGGAACCCTTTTTCAAATGTTGCTAATTGCCTCCCTGCCCAATCCACCCTCAGCCCCAGACCATCTTACGTAGCCTGTCTCTGTACTTAACACGTTCATTACTTTATTTCACATTCTTCCTTATGTCAGGTTCCCTAGAAGGGCATCCTGAGACTGGGCTTAGGGTGCATGATTTGTTGAGAGAGAGTCCTCAAGAGAAGGGGGTGAGAGAAGAGGTTGGGGCAGATGTGGTGCTAAGCAAGAAGGGGTTTCAGCCAGAGTCCACCCTCACCCTGATCCCATGGTGAGCCCTGGAGCATGAATGTTCCACAAAGTTGGCTCACCCTGAGGCAAAGAGGACTTTGTTGTTTCCTCAGCTTTAGTTTGAGCTAAACTAAATGTTTGTACCATTGTGTCCTTCAGTCACTGAGAGCCAAGGGGGTGGGAGATCCTGTGGCATAATTTCCCAGGCACGAAGACCCCAGCTTGGCCAAACAGCCATTCCCTGGAGGAGGGAGCTGTTAGCCTTAGCAGTTCACAGTGCTCACAGCAGCTGGGGCATGCGTCTGCTGCCCTGATACAGGGATCGGGCTAGGGCACCAACAGCATCCACTTCCCATTACTCCTCCATGCAGTTGCCTGCGTGGGTCTTGCTGTAGGACTAATACTCTTGTTGTGTTTTTTTGTTAGCAGATACCACAACTCTGGGGATCCATGAAACCAGAGGGTCCCATTTAATCCAGATACCATAGCATCTCACCATCTCTCAGCCCCTTTGAGAGTAGATGGGCTTCCTGGGCACTGGTTGATGTTGGAAGAACATTGTTTGTAGTACTCAATGTCCTATCTCAGGATTTGTTAAGATTCTTTGGTGCTTTTACCTCCTAAAGCATTTTCACATAACCCCCACCCCCACCCACTCTCACACACACGCATGTAGTGTCTACCCTTGAGAATGGAAATGTCTCTGTTTTTTCAAATGAGCAGACTAGGGTTGTTAGGTTACTTTCTGTTTTTAGTTACTGTTGTTAGATTAAAAGTATTCTTAAAACTTCTATGATAGCAAAAATATTTGTATCTCTGACTCGTCAAGTCCTGACATGATCACATTAGGGCTTTTGACTGTTTCTATTATAAGTAAACCTACGAAAATTGAAGAGTTTTAAACGGTTTTAATATCCATTGAAATTACAAAAAAATTCTTCAATTTTCTGAAAGTAATTTAAGCTTTCTTAAGATAGACCTAGTCTACTAAGCATAGAGATGGATCCTTATAAGTACTGAGATGGGTTGTTTCATTGCTTACACATTTTACTTGTAACCTTATCTTCAGCATTTATGATTGAAATAGGGAGACTGTTGCTTGCTCTGGCTTTATCCTCTGCCTCTTTGTCAGTTTGACAGCGTACTTAACTGTAGGAACTATATTAGGATTCTTTTCTATTTCTTTTGAGGCTGTAATATTGCATCAGAGTGAATGGAATTATTTGTTCAGAGCTGCCACATTTATGTTTAAGAAATACATTTTAACTTTTTTCCTTTTCTATCTTATCCCCCCTTTTATTTTTGCTCTGCAGTTAAACTCTCAAAGAAGAAAAATACTACTGTGATAGAAATCAGTAGCCATAGCTTCACAGGGACAAGCTGTCATTACAATCTGAGTTTAATTAGAAAAAAATTTAAAAAGCATTTGTACTTATTACTAAATGTTTCCATTTTCATAAGTTATCCAGAATATTCTTCATGCACACCCAGGGAATAAATAAGAGATGAACACTAGCCTTCAAATAAGATAAGATCTAGCCAAAAAAAATGCTATTCTTCTAGAGATGCTGTCCATGGATGGGGCTACTAAAAATAGAAATGTCAGTAAATACAGCTGATATCTCTCAAAGAACAGAGAGAGCTCTAATGAATATGTTTACACATATATAGAGACTTATTCTTTTAATATCTTGATTATACCAAACTTTTTAAAAAGAAATCAATAGAAATCCATCATTTTTATGGAAATTTGTATCTACTTTTCTGGTGAGAGTAGAAAGCCAAAGAGATGGGACTTGTTATAAAAACCTATTATTTTCTCTTATTATTCTAGCATTATTCATAAGCAATACTTGTTGAATTGCAATTTGATATTAAAAAATGGGAATGCCAGAGCGCTCCACTGTGTACTTAAGAGGATAATGCCACCTGCACTTGTGTTGTCCAAAAAACATGGTATACAGCCTGAAATTGTCTCATTATAAACATTTTTTTAAAATCACTATATTTAGGGTCGGTCCCGTGGCTTAGCGGTTGAGTGCGTGCGCTCCGCTGCTGGCAGCCCGGGTTCAGATCCCGGGCGCACACTGACGCACCGCTTCTCCGGCCATGCTGAGGCCGCGTCCCACATACAGCATCTAGAAGGATGTGCAGCTATGACATACAACTATCTACTGGGGCTTTGGGGGGGGGGAAATAAATAAATAAAATCTTTAAAAAAAAATTAATCACTGTATTTAATTAACAGTTTTGACCAGATCCATCACAGTTTCTAATGGTATTATCTTCAAGTTGAAAATCACTTTTGGGTTTGTTTTCTTATTAAGGGGAAACTTACAGGTCCTTTAAAGGGCTCTTAATGTTGCCAAATGAACACCAGTAGGTGTGTTTCTGTAAGGTATATAGGTCATTCACTAGGGACCCCTCAAAGATGGCCAAGAAGATGAAGAAATGACACTGGTCCCAGATTGGTTTTCCTGTGGGGTTGGGGGAAGAGGGCGTTGTAGGGTTCGGCTTGGGTAGGCCAGAGGCATGATGCTGGCTTTACAGGGCTTTTCAGAAGCCAGGAGTATCTCCTAGCCTTGATGACGTTATAATGAAGCAATGTTCAGCCACATCTCTTGGAAACATAACTTTCTGTGAAAATCCCACCCCATTTACACACATTGGGACTAAACATAGATTTGACTTGGCCATAGGGCAAGCAGCTTCTGAGATGAAAAGAGACAGAAAAGGAAAAGAGGAATGGATGATAAATACGCATAGCCCTCTCCCTTCCCGTCCCCATGGCCGACATCAGTGACTGATTATGGCACCTTGGCCTCGGGGCCTTGTCAGAGCCTTACAGTCCTTCTGCAGGTTCTGGGCAGCCACCACCCAGACATCTGGACCAGCAAGCCCACCTGCCCTGCCATGGAACCCATCTGCCATTCCTGTTGAAGCCTTTGTTCTATGGTCGTAGGGTGGTTTCTGATAGAATAGATCTGATCTTTTCAGAAGGCAACTTCCCGAGTCAGTTGTGGATGGGTCGTTCTGCAGAGGGACCTGCCCTGATCCATGGAGCTGCATCCAGCTTTCCACAGCTGAGGCAGCAGAGCAGGCTATACTGAGAGATTTTGCTTCCTTGCACTGTAGGCAGGATGGTAGCAGTTGTGCACGAGACGTGGCCTTCTTATTCCTGCCTCTGCTGCTTAATTGTGCCACATGTGAGATCTAGAATCTGAATGTTTGCCAGGTCAACGGTTACTTTAAAGCTGCATGGGTCCTTAGAAATCACCAGTCCTGGGATTTTAAGACCCGGGATGTTGTGTTGCTAAGGGCCAGGCGGCTACCAAGGAAGTAGGCCCAAGGAGGACTGTGGCAAACTGAAGCCAGGCATTTGTCCCTCAGGGCAGGCCCCATGTGGCCAGATCTTACAGGCTTTTAGAAAATCCTAGAAATTTGGATTTTTAAAGTCTGAAATCTTCTGATTTTTAAAAGTTAACAACTCTTGAAATTTTTTTTTAAACACCATGGATAAACAAAGCATGTTTTTTGGAAGAGGAAACCATGGTTTAGTCCATTTTTAACAGAGGAAGGTGATAGTGTGGACTCTAGAATCCCAGAGTGCTGGCCCTATAGTCTGCTGCTCTTTTCGCAGGCTCCCAAGGGCGTGTGTGTCTCAGGATGTGTGTCTTTGAAAGCATGGACTTCTTGGTGTGTGTTTGGCGAGGGGGGCGTTTTATGTGCGCTCTGAAATGCACACAGCCTCCCCGAGGAAAAACAGGTGCCCATAACACTGCTCTTTGGCTTAATAGGTTATGAGCCACTTAGACCGCTGCAGCTTTTCCATTTCTACACAGAAAGCAAGGGCCACACAGTGCTTGAACATTTGTCATGAAAACAGTCTTATTTTAAAACTTTGAAGTGCCCAGAGATTAACTATCTGGAAAAATGCATTTCAAACCTGAGTACAGGCAATTGAAATTCTACCCCAAACTGCAACTCCAGCCCATCTCTCATGGACCCCTATACCTCTAGGTCTACCTGGAAACCCATTTTAACTTCAATTGTAAGTACCTAGCTGTATCTGATGTTAGAATTTGCTCCAGAATGTTGTTCACACTTCTGGTGGGTCAAGTGTTGCCTCAAAAGCAACGTCTACTTAAGAATCTGCTTTAATTGTGTCATCAAGCACCAAGAAACATGTGATTTGTTTTTCTTCTTTTCTCTCAGGAAGCTGACAGCTGGGAAATTATAGAAGGGCTGAAAATAGGCCAAACCAATGTCCAGAGACCAGACAAACATGAAGGCTTTATGCTGAAGAAAAGAAAATGGCCTTTAAAAGGCTGGCATAAGGTAATATTTTAATCATATTCATGTTCAGATCATCTTTGTAAATAGAGAAGATCTTATTTGGTCTTATTAGGTGGGAAACCAAGAGTATGGCTGCCTGTGTAAAACTCATTTTCAAAGCCTTATTTTAACCATACAGGCTGCAACCTATTATACCTATTTAAGTCTGAGATCTGTAATATCTGTAGGCAGGGAAAAAATATTTTACATGATATTTAAAATCCAGGTTGTACATGTTGTTGTCTACTCTGCTTTTTTCACTTAAATTAGTATGAATATGTTCTTATTAAACATTCTAAATATGAGATGTTTTTAAAGGCATGCATGTATTCTATTGGATGGATTTATAGTATATATCCCACCATTATTGAACCAATTCCTTATTGCCGGATATGTAGGTTATGTCTAATTTTTTACTGTTAAGATGTTGTGATGAACATCCTTATACATGAATTTCTATTTAATTCCTTGGAATAAATTCCTGGAGTTATTATTACCAGTGCAAATTAAAGGTGGAAGATCACTGATCTTGGAAGTTCGTTTACTGCCCTTTAAAGTGTATGGTTTATTCTTCCCTCCCCTACCCTACATCCTTTTTCCATCTTCCAGTTTTAATTATGGAGAAAATATTTTGCACTACATTATTGCAATTACCTGAGTAGCAAGAATTCTGTGATGCTAAGGAGGAGAAAGTTGTCCTCCATTTTCAGTATGTCTTTGATAGACCAAGTTCTTCTACTTGCCACCTCTGCCGATGGATTTCATCTCAGTGCAGATGGATTTGTTGGCTCAAATGGCCTGGTGGTGGCTGCCCGTTGGCCCAAAGCAGGAAAGTTATGGATTATCACATCCTTGAGGAAATACATTTTTTGCAATTCAAGGGAAAGCCTTGAAAATTAATGGATGGGAAATGTTGCCCCAATCCCCTGTCTCTGAGGGTGAAACAAAAGCAGGTCAAAGAGGCTTCTGACTAATGTTTCCTCTTGCTTTTCAGAAACCTCCTCAGTCTCTCCTGAAGCCATAATATTACCCCAATGCCAGGAATCTCTCTCTACCCTTGTTCTTCCTTGGATTTTGGCCAACTGGCCATATTCCTTCCTAAAATCACCTTTTGCTTTTCATTCTGACCTTGCAATTCCTTCAATCAATGGCCTTGCTAATCTGTTCCCCCATGACCATCCTATAGGTTATCTCTGCTAAAATTCTTTGATAGAAATGGAAAAAGAGAAAAAAGAGGTCAAAGAAACAAATTTTATATGAATTGCTAACTTTAATTTAGCACTCTCAGTCCATGTTTCAGCAAAACTGGCTGTGGTTCAACAGCAACTCTTTCTGGACCATACCTTTGAATATTTTGCTATATAAATAGTAGTTCTCCCTCGCATTGCCTTTTCTCCTGGACTCTAATGCCATCAGATATTTATTCAAGCATCAGCCCATTTGATTGCCCAAGTCATGGGCAATTGAGTAATCAAGTGTTTTTCAGCTATAGAGATTTCTTTTTTCCGGTGCTCCTTGCCCCCCAGAACCTGTAACAAAGGGGTTACAGTGGCCTTCTATGAGTTCTGTGCAGCGTGTCCTCAGGCCTGACTGCTAGCCACCTCAGCAGCTAATGGTCCTGAATCACATAAAAACTTCCCAGCAGAATAATCTTCCAGCAGCAGAAAGACTCCCTGCATCTGTAGAGACTGGAGGAGGGCACTGGACCCGTTGTTTGATTGGCTCCTGGGAGCTGTTTGTTCTCTTGTCAATTGCCCCCGGAAAGGAAGTCAGTAGCAGAGAGTTCCTGAGTGTTTGTGGAGCAACAGCGGCTAGATTCATTTGGACTGGACCAGAAGCATCTTGGAGGAGACAAAAATTGCCAAATCTCTCTCTCTCATTTTTATTTTTACCATTAATGTAGTTCAGAAATAATTTTTAATCTCTTTTACTAATAGTGAAATGCGAGCATTTTGCTAACTAGAGATGCAAGTATATTGCTAACGCTACTTCTTAAACTTTCTAGATAATTCATTATTCATAGATCCGGTCCACTGGTTTCTGTTACAGACATGAGCATTTTCAGGAATTATCCATGGTATCCAGAGAAATGCAGGAGTTTACCTCCAGGATGAAAAATTCCCTGTAGACAAGCTCCTCACAGAATCACTGTGACCTAACCCAGGTTATTCTCATTTCTCACTTGCAAAAGCATCCCATTGTGGTTCATTCAGAAAGTCTTAGCTGCAGGTCCTGAGATTCCCTCCCTCCTCCCACCTCCCACCTGCCCCCCCTTAAGAAAAACCTTGGTGAAAAGATTCCATCCCTATTGGATTATGTGTAAAAGAACCCTAGTAGGTTAAAGGTACAGAACTGGAGCTCTGATTTCCTTACCATTTACTGTGACTGACTGGGGCCAGGTGCACTGAACCCAATACATTTAAATGATCAAACGTATTGATACCTAAATGCCAAGCAACTTTAGACCCACACTTGTGAATGTGTTATATAATTCAAAGTACAGATGGTAACTGGGGCTTGTTTGGTTCTTACAGCGTTTTTTTGTCCTGGATAATGGAATGTTAAAGTATTCAAAGGCACCACTTGATGTAAGTAGCACTCAGGACATGTTTCAAAGATTGATTTAGAATACTGCTTGAAGTGAGTAAACACCATAGTCATTCAAGCCTTGTGCCATGGTTACCAGCTTTGTGTATTTCTGTGCCTGTGAGATTTAACAAGCTACCGAACTTCCATGTTCCATGGAAGGTGTGTTTTATGCTTATGCTCAGGCTAGCATAAAATCTCAAACTGGTGCATGAAGATTTAATTTAACCATTGTAATGTTTGTTGTTAAAAACAGGGGCTTAGGGCCGGCCCTGTGGCTTAGCGGTTAAGTGCACGCACTCCGCTGCTGGCGGCCCGGGTTCGATCCCGGGCGCGCACCAACGCGCCGCTTCTCCGGCCATGCTGAGGCCGCGTCCCACATACAGCAACTAGAAGGATGTGCAGCTATGACCTACAACTATCTGCTGGGGCTTTGGGGGAAAAAATAAATAAATAAAATTATAAAAAAAAAAAAACAGGTGCTTAAACCTAAAAGTGACACATTAATAAAATATCACCCTTTCTGTCTCGGAAAGAAAACCCAAATAGGGTCTTTTTCCTGCATCTCTCAATAAACTATGCTTTATGTGCTTTTTTGAGATTTAAAGCAACCTTTGCTCTTGTCGATGCCCTTTTAAAACCTGTCTTACAAACATCATTTCTATTTTATACATCCTTTTATCTGGGGAATCCCCACTCACTAAAATTATTTTAAGTTATTTTTCTCTAATATAAAAAGTAGTTGTTTGCATGCAAAACTGGAAAATGCCCTTCTTCCTTTCACTGTGATGTAGGGGAAATAACAGAGGGCTCAGATTGCGGTTTTGTCCCCATCCCTTCCATTGAATCAGCTGTGTGTCCCTGATCAGACGAGGGCAGCCAGAAGGAAGAGCTGTGTGCTCTGTGCTCTCTGGCCCCAGCTGCCCAGTTCTGCCCCAGCAGCTGTCTTCTGGCTGATTACTCAGGGATGTTCTTGGTTGTAGGTCAAAGACAGACCATAGTTATTTTAGGAACCACTAAGATATCTTTTTGGGGATAGAAGCTGTGCAATCTAGAATTATGAATAATTGACATTATATGTTATGCCAAAATCTGGAATAAGAGATGAATAGTCTGATTTATTGAAATTGCTGTGAAGTCACTGCAACTTCAACTGTCCTCAGATTAAGGACCTTGACCTCAGAACCGTAACCATTTTCTCCTCGTAAGGGAGGTGTAGTAGTCCATTTCCCACAGAGAAGTTCAAGATTACATTAAGCTTACTTCAGTACAGAAACACATCAAATCGTATATCCTTCCACCCTATTAACTAGTCTTTCGATTTCAGATTCAAAAAGGGAAGGTCCACGGGAGCATCGATGTCGGACTCTCGGTCATGTCAATTAAAAAGAAAGCCCGGAGAATAGACCTCGACACAGAAGAGCATATCTATCATTTGAAGGTGAAATCCCTTTTCAACAGTTTCTCTGCCACTATCGGGGGAAATCACTTGCCTTATATCAGTGGTAAACAGGAGATTGGTTTCACTGTTATGTTCTCCTCTTGTTCATTGTTTTAGGTGAAATCCCAGGACTGGTTTGATGCATGGGTCTCCAAACTGCGGCATCATCGATTGTATCGGCAGAATGAAATTGTGAGATCGCCGAGAGATGCTAGTTTTCACATATTTCCTTCAACCTCCACAGCTGAATCCTCACCAGCTGCTAATGTTTCCGTTGTGGATGGAAAGGTATGACTTTGTTGTATAAAAATCAGGCCAGAAATTGCTTAGAAAATTATGCACACACATAACTAAGTCTCATTTGACAAACCAGAAAGAGAAGGTTTGCTTTGTAAAGTAACCCTCAGATGACAACAGTGACATTTGGCGTCAAAGTTAATCACAAGTATAGATTAGGCAAAAGTGTGGATCACCAAGAGAAGTTGTTTTTCCTTTCTATGAATGGACTGTATCCTAATTTTATGTAGCTTTGTAGGAACATTAGGAAGTAGAGTGAACCTTTGGTTAATCAACACCTAGAAATCAATGTCTTTCTGGGCGTTAATAAGAAGACCACAAGGTTTTGAAAATGAAGCTTGCTTTCTTGCCTTGAGCTGTAATACATACATAACCCAGAAAAAGACCAGTGAATTTCCCCATGAAGTCAATGCAAGTGAGCTAAAGAATATGACAGTAATATAAGTAGTGGTCCATTTGAGTGACCAGGCACTGGGTTAAGCATTTGACATTCATTTAAGCATTTGACCATTCATTTGTCTCTGGTTTTGACTATAGCCAAAGCTCAGAGGCAGTAAAGAATTTGTCCAGAAGTCGGATAGCCATTAAACAGCTGAGCCAGGATCTGAATCCATATCTTTCTGTTTCCAAAATCAGGGTGCGTTCCATTATACCAGGTGCCAGACCAAAGGAAGCTGAAGTTGTTCTTTGGGCTGTAACAAGAGTTCATGTTGCTGGTGCTGTTTTCTATGTTGCTGAAAAGCTAGGGGTGTTGCCTATTAAAAATCAAGGTTAAGACAACAGGCAGAGAGACAGCTGTTTCTGCCTTTGATTCAATAATTAAGTTCTCTGAACCATAGCCAGATTGCACTGCCCAGGGGTGTTCCAGCTTCCCACTTGGCACCTGATGTTGAGAGCAGAGGCATCTGTGAATAAGCTGGCTGCCACAAGGAACTGGGTTTAAGAACGTTTCAGTGACGATTTTGCTTTTTTTCTGTTTTTTATATAGGAATAAATGTAATACATGTATCCAAGTTTCCTTTGCAAAGCATTGAAAAACCTCATGGACTAACTGAAAGACTAATCAAATCAGATTAAATTAAATACTGCTGTATTCAGTTTTTTCTATCTCAATGGAAATTACTTAAATAATTTTTGTTAAATCCCATTAATTGTATTTCACAGGGCTCTCAAACCTTACATTATTTCATTTTGCTTGCAGCCTTGCCAAGGACTGTTGAATCATCTTTCTCCTAGGATTAGTGTGTAGAGTTAGCCCTAATATGAACCAGTTCTGAGATGAAAGGGAATGAACCAGGAGGTGGAGGGGTTAGGAAGCAGGGCACTTACAAAATGACCCAATGCAAGATGCTCAAGATAGTCCTCAGGTTTCTCTGGGCCTCTTGTTTTCTCACCACAGAAGAGAATAAGTCCCAGAGTTAGTCCAAATTAAACAAAAAATGTATTCCAGAGGGATATTTTTAAAATATAAATGTTTAATTCTTTGGTTCTCCCAGCTTCTGCCTGCGTCTTTGGCACAGAGTGTTGATCAAAGATGTATTATTTTCATCCCTTGTGTTATTTATTAAGTTACTTGGGTGATATCCGAGAATGGAGAACTGAAACCAAATCCTCCCCACTGTTTGCCTTAGAATAAGAAAGCTCTTCAACTCTGATTTTCATAAAAGATCTATTGCTCTAGTTATGAATGACATCCCTCTAAGATCTAACTCAGTGAAGGATTTCCGTTAAATTTATCAAAATGCAGTGAAGAGTGAAAAGAGCTTTTTATCAGTCTGCTTGCATTCTAAGTATCAAATTATGACACTCCTGAACGTTAATTTGTTTGTGGCCCTGTGTGGGTAACAAATAAGTCTGAGTTTGCTAAGTATGTGCATCATTCACTTCATAATGATTTAGAAGAGACACAATCAATTGTAATTGAATATTAGGGTTAAATATGAAGTTTTCAAGTTCTTTTAGCTTTTTGGGAAATAAGTTGCTGCTTTTTTCACGAAGTGTTTACTGCACTCACTTTAGTGTCTACATACTTCATCTGACTTTAATTTACTTCACATAAAATCCCTTTAATGGAAAGTCTATCGGCTATAGATAGTAACTTGCGAAGACTGCCTCTTTATGTATTATAATTTTCAGCGTGCGTTCAAAGCATTGCAAGGTTGCTTGCTGGTGGATGCTGTATTTAGGAATCATGTGTGGCTGATGAGACCTTGAGCTGATCATAAGGGTACAGAGACCTTTGGAAAGGAAAGGCCTTCAATCACGAGTGAAAAATACTGCAATAAGGACACTGTATCACATACAACTTACTGAGTAACTTAAAATTATTGGGAATTTGGATTGGCAGGTCCTTGTGGGTATCAGACATAACATATTGACATGTTGTCCCCTTCATTGTATGGTGGAGATAGCACCCTAATGAGAGTGTTGTTATTGTTTATGAATTTTGGCTTCACTGAGCAAGTACCACATTCAGCCAAGAGGCTTCTTCCATATTTTGAATGTGCCCTTTCTTCTCTTTTTTTTTTTTTTTTTGTGAAGACCAGCCCTGAGTTGACATCCGATGCCAATCCTCCTCTTTTTGCCTAGGGAGATTAGCCCTGGGCTAACATCCATGCCCATCTTCCTCCACTTTATATGGGACGCTGCCACAGCATGACTTAACAAGCGATGCGTCGGTGCGCACCCGGGATCAGAACCAGCAAACCCCGGGCCGCCGCAGCAGAGCGCGTGCACTTAACCGCTTGCGCCACCGGGCCGGCCCCTGTTGTTCTCTTTTTCAATGTTACTTGTATTTTTTTTAATCACTTAAATGTCCTGTTTCTGCTTACCCACACACTTCTTTTTGTTCATTGTAGGTGCAACCAAACAGCTTTCCATGGCAGTCCCCTTTGCCGTGCAGCAACAGCCTCCCTGCCACCTGCACGACCGGCCAGAGCAAAGTGGCAGCCTGGTTACAGGACTCGGAAGAAATGGACAGGTGTGCAGAAGGTCAGTTCTTGCCCAGTGTGGGCTCTCAGGATAAGCCAGAAAAACAGAAACAAAAGAGGTGAATTGTGAGTGCTGTACCTGTCACCCCCACCCCCTGGATTGCTTCCACCTTTCTTTTTTTTATTTCTATACACTGGATCCTTCTCCTTCCCATGACTCAGCTTCTTACCTGCTGATTCTCCTGCACCCTCACAACTACTGAATCTGGTTTCGCCCTTATCCTGACTTCCACCCGCTTCAGCCTTCTCCCTTTGTCTCATTATCAGTTCCCTGCTGGCTCCGATAGCCTCCCACTCCCGAACCCCCAGGCAATCACCCGGAGAAGTGCTGCTTCCGGAGCGCCCTCCACCCTCGCTCTTGACTGTCTGCCAGGCCACTTTCACAGCTGCCTTCTCGGCTGCTCCATCTTGCCCACGGAACAAGTGTATGTCTCCTGACAACCTAGCAATAAACAGCACAATTACACTGCATCTTATATCCACAGTTACCTGTTAGCCGTGCTCCACTATGGATTAGTTATTAAATACTCTGAACTTATACACGATTCCCTCACTCTGCATCATACATGATTCCCTTACTGTACCATCTCTGGGCCTCTTAATCTCAAGAAACTTTCCCCTTCCTTGTAATTAGCCTGAGCATGTTGATCCCAGCTAGATCCTGTCTACAGGTCAGTTTTCATTTGACCTTCAAAAATAAGGAAAACAGGGATAACATAGGAAATATTTAATAAGGCAAAATTGATTTAATTTTTAAAATTATTTTGAGGTGACATTGAGCCTAACTTTTTTATATAAATTTTTTTCTTCTGTGAAATTATGGTGAAAGTAGATATTAGATTTTGTTTTTTATGTCCTCATTTAGAAAAACTGAAATTTGGCGATCTGTGTTGGTCCCCCCAACCAAAAAAAATTTTTTTGGCTCTATATGTGTGTGAACTCAAAGTCTGCAGCATTTTTATTAGCCCTCCACACATCCCAAACTCAATCTTTATGTGAAAATATGATTTTAAAAGGGATGTTATATTCATAAAGCATGTCCAGCTGACATTCTATTAAAAGAGTTTTACTTGAATGTATTCACAAAACATACAGACGTTAAGTATTAACTTCAGGTTGGGGAAAGAAAGTAAACCTCATTTTCCTAGGACATTGAAGGTTCACCTCAGCAGCAGTTCTGGACATTTCAGCCTCTCCTCTAACTTCTGCAGCTTCCTACACGCTCATGGCATTTAACCCAGTTGCCTACATTGCTGAAAAGATTCAGACCATCCACTGGGGCAGAATCCATTCATGTGACCAACAGGAAGAGACACTGGCTTTGACGCCAAGGGCCCTGGCTGGTGGGGGAGGGAGGGACACAGTTGTCTCCCTGGTGACTCAAATCCTCTGTGGCCCATCCCCTGTGCCCTCTCTCCGGTCTCGGGAGTGCTCCTCCTTCTCCCCAGCCTGACTGCTCTACCTGTGTCCTCCGTCCTGCCTTTCTGTCTTCTTGCAGGATTTCGTGCAATAATTATCTCCTCTCCTGGGGACAACCTCGTCTTTCTCGCTTCACTTGTTCCTGCTCTCTGCCCATAGACTCCAGCTTCTCTCCTGTAATTTGACTTTGTCCTTTTGGCTCTATGGAAAAGGCATTCTTGGTAGCAGGAAGCCATCTGATTTCTGCTGTGTTCTCAGGCCTCATCCTCTGATCCGCCCTGCGGGACCTCCTCTAATGAGCCTCCTCCCTTAGGCCCCATGAAGTTCTCCTTTTTCTCTACTGCTCCTCCTCTGCTTTGCTGGGATTCTCCTCTGGCCAGCCTTGGCTGTGGCATGATCAAGATTCAGTCTTCTGCTTTCAGCTTCAATAATAGTAACTATAGATTATTGGATGCTCAGTATGGGCCAGGCTCTGAACTGAGCACTTTACATATATGGTTTTATGTGAATCTTCACATAGTACCAAGCAGGAATTATGAACCATATTTTTATAGATAGGGAAACCAAAGCTCAGAGAGGTCAAGTAACTTGTCCATGTTACACAGCAAGTACTTGGCAGAACTGGAGGGCTAAACCAGGCCAACTTGATCCTAATGACTATGCTTTATGTTCTGGAGATGACAGGCATGCTTAGAGTTTCAACTGAACTCTGTTTTGATGATGAGAGTTGTGATGGTGGTGGTGATGTGATGATGGTGGCAGTGGTTCTGGTGGCAGCTAATAGGTATTGGACATTTCCTGTGTGACTATTCTAGGTGTTTTATATGCATTAGCTACTTTAATCCTCTCAGCTCCATTTTACAGATGAGAAAACTTAGGTACAGAGAAGTTAGCTCAGTTGGACCAAGTTCATGCAGCAGGTAATAGTGGAGCTGGGATTCACCCTCAGGCGATCTGACTCCAGAGTGTATGCTCCTAATCGCTGCACCATATTCCACTCAAAAAGGCTGAGAACTCTTTAAATCTCAGATCTCTGTCTCCAGCCTGGGCTGCATTCCCAGCGCCTCACCTTGCTGTTGGCCCTTTCTGTCTGTACTCTCTGTTGTACCCCCTTCTCAGCTTGTCTGAAACCAAACTCTTGTCTCTTCCCTGAAAATGGTCCCAGCTCCTGGACTTCCCTGTTTCTGTCAGTGCTGCTGTCATAACCACCCGAGACCTCAGCGTCGTCTTTGAGACTGAGGTTCATCCAGCCGAGACTGAGTTCTGTTATTTCTTTGCAGACATCCCCCATCCTTTCCACCTCATCTACCCTTGCTCTGGAGTTCCATTTCTGCTTTCCTAACTCAGGCCCACCATTCACCCTGTCTTTGGGCAGTCGCAGAGCCTCCTGACTGGTACCATCACCCGCAGTCTTTTGCTCTGCTACTCTCTCTCTCAGTGGCTCATGGGAAATTACTGTTCTTGAACATGTTTGCAGCACTGTGCCAGCACTTAGCAGGTGTTATTCCAATGCACTCAGCCATGAGACGTGGGTATTGCTACTATCCCCACTTGCAAATGAGGAAAGTGAAATGCATGGAGGTTAAGGATTTGCCCAAGATTACGTAGCTGCCCTAGTGGAGAGATTGGGACTCCAGCCAACCCATATTTGATTAACCCCAAAGCCAATTCTTGGTCCACTACATAGTGTTCCCTCAAGACTGATGTTTCTTAAAATAGCTTTTATGCAAAAATTCCTTCAAGTGGTTCTCCATGGGCGCTGGGGCTTTAGTCTAAACTACTTAGCCCAGCGTTTAACATCCAGCTGTCAGCTTTCTGGCCCTACCTACCCTTTCACCGTTGCCTTCCATAGGCCCAACTAAACTTATTTGCTATTTCCTGAACATACTCGCATATTCCCACCTCCATGCCTTTGCACAGGTTGTTCTTCCCAACCTGCGGTACCCTCTGCCCTTCTCCACCTTCCTATTTTGCTGAATCCTTTCCATCAATCCTCCTGAAACAGAAAAGATTCCACTCTGTCTTTTAAGTCTGCTCTGCTGACCTCAAACAACATTCCTAAACTTCCACAACACTTTTTTTTCAGTCTATCCTGATCATTTCATAGAGTCCCCAATACTGAGGTTGGGTGTATTTCAAAAGTTCATCATGTGACATCTTCTTGAACCCATAACATATCTGATTTATAGTGCTAATACTTAAAGTAGCTAGCTATTCATAGATCTGGACTTACATCAATCCAGATCTTCTCAAGTACATAAGGGAATTGCTTGGCTCTTAGAGAGCATTTTTTTTCCATAGAAACAAAATGTTAAATTAGTATTTTATATGCCATCTGTATAAGCAGTATATGCCATCTATAAAGATGAGTATGTAATAGTTCAACATCCAGATTGTTTACTGTGTACATTTTTTTTCACCAGAATATAAATTCCATGAATCCTACTTGATTGCTATACTGCCTGTGCTTAGAACTGTGCTGGGTACACAGTGTCTTCCCGATCAATGGTACCTAAATGAAATAATAAATGGATAACTTTGGATAGACCTTAATTTATTTAACCATTCCACAGTTGGACAGCCTGTTTCTTTTTGGAACAAGGTAGGGCATGATGGGAAAATTAGTAAACTGCTAGATATTTAAATTTTTAAATTTTCACTATTATAAACTATCCCAGAAGTCCTTTCTTGGGATAATTTTTTCCCCAAGTTTCTAAAATTAGATTTAATCTTAATTTAATGAAATTCTAGAGATTTCTTTTTTAAAAGGTATTTTTATTGTCTTGGGCAAATCTTTATAATCCTTATATACGGCCAGACACTTAGGCAAGCAATGAAATCCTGTGCAGGATTTCATTTCTTTCATATTTCAAATGATAGAAGTGATGAGGAAAGGTGTGGCTCAATCCAGGCTAAGGCCTAGCAGTATGATTAAACATACTGTGGTCAAGACTCCATGAAGACCATTTCCGGTTTTCACAGAATTGTCTCATCTACCTAACTATCTCATCTCAGCTGCTACTTTAATCAGGAAGATGAGAGAGGTAAATATTACTGTCACCACTTGATGGGTGAGGAAACTGCCACTGAGAAATGTAAAGGAAATCAGCATCTCCTGACGCAGTTTTGGGTCCTTTGCCTTGAATCGAGTTCATTCACAAAGTTCTCTTTTCATTCTGTTAGAAAGGGTTCTAAGCCCCATTTCTAGCTTTCTGTGCTACCTACATACACCATCTGTGTAGAATCATCACAATTATTAAAAAACACGAATGTAACATTTACTGGAAAGAAGGTTCAACGGATAGATAATGTTATATAATGTCCCTACCAGCACAGTGCTTATGATGTGGTTTGTTCTTTAAAAGGCAAGTTAAAATGGAGGTCCTTTCTAGCCGTCTCCTTTCTCCTCTTCCCTCTAACTACTTCCTTCCTTCTCAGTACTTTACTCCCTCATTCCTTCCCTTGTGTCTTCTGTATTTCCTACCCTTTCAAGCCACTTTACCTTATTTTCTTTGTGGAAGAGATAGGGGGGTGGTGGAAGGGCCCTGGCCTCGTTAGTACCTCCTCCCTTCCTCCCCCTTCCATTGGGTGCTTCCTTCCATTGAGGGCTGAGAGTTCCCCGGAAGAACAACAATAGCATTTGAACAGCCCACTGAGCCTCCACCCAGAGGCAGATGCTGCTAAGAGGAAGGACCTGGGTGTGGCCTGGCCCCGGGATGAATTGCTGCTGCCTCCCCTTCCATAGACTGTGCAGAGATTCTGAGTCCTATCTAAAGACCTCATAGCAGTTATCCCTCTATTTTATTTTATATCCACCAATTTTTTGATCCAGCTAATCTTTATCAGTATTTAACAGCGATATTTTGCTGCCTATACCGTATCTGTAACAATTCAGATCTTTGAGATTCAATGAGAAACAAAGATAATATAAGGGAAATTTTCACCAACTGCCACAAAAATAAGAACAACCGCTTTATAATTTAACAGATTTATAGACATATCCTGTTGCAGTCTCTTCATAAACAGTACTCATGCAAAAGTCATCACATAACTGGGAAGCGTGTTCTAAATATTTAATAATTGATTAAATAATACTAATAACCCACTATTCTTAACTGTATTTAGATTCACATACTAAAGGTCAGTTTTTTGAGTGATAGTTTATTATACAGATCTTAAAAATTCTCTCTTGTTCAAATACATCAAAAAATTAAAAATAAAATGAAAAGTCTCTCTTTATTCTAAACATTAATTCAAACGGAATGAGTTTCATGCCCAGATGATGCTGATGTTGCTGTGCCAGGGAACACACTTTGAGAATCTTTGGTTTTGTTTAGTATAACGTCTCTAATAGATTTTCAAGTAATCATTCATTGCAACATTGTTAGTGAGCTAAATTAGAGATAAATGTGTTTGTGTGACTTGATATTCCATCTTATTTTTCTGAACTTGACTTTCACTCCATCCAAATTCCAAGCAGCCACCTTGTAAACTATTTTCAGAGCAGGTAGGCAGGTTCCTAAGTTCAAAACCATACAGCCGCTGAAGTTCCCTCGATTGTGCTTCTTATGTGACAAAGGCCACCTGAGCAGGAGAGGGAGCATGCATGATGTCACTGAGATTTTGATGGCTCTCTGCCCTAATCACTGTTACTTTGTAGGAGTGGGCTTTGAAGTCATCTAATAATCAATAATTTTATGGTTCTAAACCAGAGAAGGGTCTGTTGTTTCATTTGCCAGTATCATCATTATATAGACATGGATCTGCCTGACCATATGTGCCAGAATTTGGATTGACTCCCTTTTAATACCGTCACCTCCACTCCAGTGGTGCCCAGTTCTAACATATTTTTATTTCTGATTTTTATTAGACCTTGCACACTGCCAGTCAAACCTTGTGGAACTTAGCAAACTCCTGCAAAATTTGGAAATACTTCAGAGAACTCAGTCAGCACCTAACTTTACTGACATGCAGGTAAACTCATTACTGCTGCTGGTGAAAGGACCTGAAGATATTAACTCAAAATTTTTACTGGCTTGTTCTATGAGTATATGAGGTAACATTTAAAGGGAAACAACTACAATACAGATTAGTTTATATTCTGGAGTTGTTCTTAACATTTTTGAATCTTGGTGTCATTGTGTCAAGATGTCTATTTTGAAATATTTTACATTTAAATACAAACTAACGAGAAATATCTGAATTGTGTTGCATTAGAAATGATAGCTTTTGAAGATATCTTAGATACTCTCAGAATTATTGCCATCTTTTTGCATAGAAAAAAATGCTAAAGATGTATAATCCTGTTTTCATTTTGTATAGTAGACAAACATATTTTATGATTAGGTTCTTGTCTGTGCTTTTAATGCCCACTATGCCTCAGATAGGCCTTTCTTTCCTGGGTGGTATGCTTAAGATGTCTAACGATGATTCTTTACTAACTTGCTGCGCTCTCTTTGTCTATATCTGTATCATCTGTGTGAACTTAATAATACTTTGTTGCTTTTAACTATTTGTGTAATGTAGGCTAACTGTGTAGATATTTCAAAGAAAGACAAGCGGGTCACAAGACGATGGAGAACAAAAAGTGTCAGCAAAGATACAAAAATACAACTGCAGGTACAGACTTTACTTTTCCTTCATTCATATTTTTATGTACTTTTAAAATACTCATCTTTATATATCAGTTCCTGGAAGTTAAAAAGTTTACAGCAGCTTAACTGCTTTAAAGCCAGTGCTTCTCAGACTGAGTTATATTATCTAAAGTACTAGGCAATCTGTTCTTACTCTGGCGTAAGTAAAAAGAATTTAAAAGAAAGGTTAAAATTATTTAATATGGCTGCAAAGTGACATTTTCATTCTCATTTATCACCTTTGAACCATTAAAATGTATTTTAACAAAAAGTCACCTTAAAAATCTAAACTAAAAATCCAAAGGGTTGTAATGAACATTCATTTATATATAGCAGATCTTAAACAGAGCTTTTTATGTGGTAGCTTTGTCCAAACTTTTATCTACCAATAAAAGGGTGAGGGCTGCAATAGATTGGAAATCAACAAATCTAAGTTCTAGTCTAATCAGTGTGATTTCCTGGCAGTATAATTCCATGCATTTCTGTTAAATTTTCTGGGCTTCTATTTGCTCCTAGGTAAAGTGATGCAGTTAACTTAATGATCTCTGAATTCCCTTTCAACTCTAAAATTCTATGATTCTATAAAAATAGATATTATTTGGCCAACAATCACTTTTCAGATCTGACCTAAAGTCTTAATGGTTCATGATAAATTTACTTGAAATTTATTTTAAATAAGTTATTTAGTTAAAATGAATAGTTTTAAATTTTTAAAGTAAGAATCCTCTTATATTATTGCATTGCAATGATACAAAATATGGTAAATGCATAAAACCTCTTAAGTCATAAATCATATTACTTTCAGATCTTTAAATTAGAATCTCTATGACTCCAATCCTAGCTGTATATTATAAAGGACTCTTGCCCTGCACAATCAGAATTAGACTTATGATTTTTCTTTACTTTTTATTACACTATAAATCAATTTATATTCTAATACAAACGTAAAAGGAACTGCTTTTGCAGAATTCTTCAATGTCTTCTAAATAAATAACAATAATTCTTTAATCCTGATTGTATTGATAACAGTCTTTGTTTTGTAATTCTGAATGTGTAAATAACAAACTCTTTGTTGCTTTGCATGCTAATCTGATGTACTTGAAAATAAATTTTCATAAACACTGAAGATCCATGTTTTTTTATTTAGAATCTCCACATTCTATGAACACAATTTTTCGTGTTCTTTTGTTCAATATGTTTTTGTGTGTTTTCCCTTCTATTCAGAAAATTAATCCTGTAGAGACAAATGTGCCAAATGACTTCACAAGAAAATTACCTAAAATTGCTTTTGGCCATTTCATCTCTTTTGAGCACGTGATTGTCTAGTTTTGTGGTTGTTTTTTGTTTTGTTTTGTTTTTTAAGCATGGTATCTATGGTTATCATAGCCAGGAAAAAAGAACCATTATAAATAAAATAATTGAAGAAGGCCAGAGTCATAAGAACATAGACATTTGTGGACAGGTCTTGTTTTTATAAGGTGTGCCATTGAACAGATTCCTGTTCACAGCTGTTGTTTTGAATAGGCTGGTTCTCAGGGAGCCTGAGCGAAATGCCCCTGGCCACTCTGCTGCGGCCGTGAGACCCACCATAGTCCCCATGTCACTCAGTTTTTTCTGAAAGAAACAGAATGCAGCTCTGAATAGCCCTCCTAGTCACAGGCTGTGCTTTTCAATGTGCAGAGAGTTTATGAAGATTTTTTTGAGTCATCAGAAGAAATTGTTCAAAAAGCAGGAAAATATTCTTCATTTATACTCCTGTCACATCTTTGGGTGATTTGTTCGTTGGCTTTTAAATTTTTATTTATGCTCTTTTCCTTTGTTTTTGTTTTGCCAAAAAGTAACAAAATAGCCCTTGTGATTCTAGTTTAATTATTTTTGAGGGAAATTGAAGTCATCTCATCCCCACATTCAAAGAAAACTTTGAACTTTGAAAAGTAGGTGATTTAGTTCCAAATCCAAGTGGAAATAAATAGACTTAGGGGTGGTAGTAAGCTATTAATCATTCCCAGATAAACCCCACTTCCCCTTGGACAGGTAAAACAAAAGGTATTGTAGGGTGAATGCTGCTGAATTTGGTACCATCCCTCGACCTTTTCTGCTTGCCCAAAGCAACAGGCCTTCCAGGATCCCTTAGGTTGCTCATTCTCCATTACTGAGAAGTTACTTGGAAGTTTCTCCAACATGCACACTTGGCTGGGGAACCATAGAATTAGCCAGGGATGACTATGACCTATATAAATGTCATTACTCATCAGTATTTTACCTACAGAAAGGCATGGCATTTATTTTTACTGTAAATTAAACATACCCACCACCTTTTCCCACCCTAATACACAGGTTTTTCCCTCCTGTTTTAAATGTTCCTTGACCATGGGAATCCCATCTGATGGTGCCAAGTATTTGTGTTGAACCCATAATCATCTCACTACTTGAACCACTTTCTCTGATGGTCATTGTTGCAACCAACCTGAGAGGCTTTTGTAGTCAGTGGCTCATTTTTCATCCTCTCTATTGTTTGGAATTTTCAGTACACCAGCCATTTGTGAAGGGACCTAGACTGTCTGGTGGTGGTGGTAGTTATGGTTATTGCTGTTGTTGTTATTGATGTTGTTTCACTGAACTTTGCATTCAGCATTCTGTAGTAGTTGTCACTTTGAAATAATTATAAAATAGACCATTTAAAAAATTGACCTCAGGAAAGTAAAAATGAAGAACATGTTATAGTGGCCGTTTGATTACTTGTTCTTACATAGGTTAAATTGTGCCCTTGATTTGAATGTGAAGGTTAAATTTTGGACCTCTATGGCCATATTCCTACTGGAAGCCATTGAGAAACTAGCCTCAGGAATCCATTGTGTAACTCATTGAAGGCAATGTTGCCCTAGGAGATTCTGTAGAATTACCTTTTAGAAAAAAGTCTTCTTGTCTCCCGAAACTTCAAATTTCTGGTTCTAATAAAAATCTCAATATTGTCATTATGCGGTAACAGTTTGGCTGTGTTAAATTAGGTAGAGGAGGGCAAGAAGAGAATAATTTTATAAGGGCTGCTGTAGAAGAGAGAGCTGCTGGATTTCTGAAGTTGCTAATAGCATGAATTAAATACTAGATCCCTAGATGTTGGGGAGAATGAGGTCTAGTAGGAAGTATGGAGTAGCAAATAAGTGATCTGGTGTCATTCATGTGTAGCTACCCTAGATCTTCTTTTTTTTTTTAGTCCTCGAAAACAATTTTATTAACTCAGTAAGTGAAGACCCAGTCCCTTTGCACCCTCAACCCCCTCAAAATGATGGGGTTGGGTAAGGGAGCAACCTGGGGCGGAAATTTCCCCTATCATTCAACATAAATTCAAATTACACGGAAGGGTAAAAATGAGTTCTTTCTCCTTTTATTTACTACATTAAGCATAAAGGGATTTTTGTATAGAAAACTTTTTGTGGAAAACATTATGTATGTATAATAAACATATACATGTATGTATGCAGAAGGTTTATGAAGAAGGAAGAGAAATGTGAATTTAATTTGGAAAGTTTAGAGAGAATTGGAGATAGAGGAATTTTAAATATTTTTCGGTTGTTCCCAAAAGACTAAAGCAGCTGTGCTGTTTTGTTTTTTTTTTTTCTCAGTCTGGACTGTTAGGTGATTCTAAGGACATCTCAGTTAATTGGAACTGAAATTAATGCTGACAACCTTGAAGAGTAAGGGTCTGTCAAATGGAGGCAAAGTGGAGTGATGAGAAGGAAATGTTGTTATCCCTTAATCCTGTCCACCAAAAAGAGAAAACCGGAAAGAAAGCTCTAGCATTCTTCTACTGGTTCATGCTTAGGTGCACATCACTAAATGAAACCCAGGCTTTCAGGTTTTCTTAGGTGATTTTTGTAGGCATTGTCCCAACACACTGAGGAAATTGAGATTTTTTTTTCACTATGCTATGGGAACTAGCTTCCTCCTTGGAAATTCTCCAACCTGAAAATTCCAGCACCATTTTTCATGTTGAATCCCTGAGAGCTTTATGATTGGGGACTAAATGGGGAGTTAAAGATTCCCAATACTCTTCCCCTTATTTTTCCCTCCCAGCAAGAAACAAAAAAATTCTGCCTGGCCAACAGGAGGCACTCATTACAACCTCTTAGTTTTAGCCTTTGCACATTATTTATTTGATCACTTTCTCCTGAACTTATTTTTCTGTGCTTCCATTTATTGAATGCCTTTTGACTTCATATACCATGACATTGCATGAATAAAACGGTGTGCACATTTATTTCACCTTAAAATCACAAGCTATTCATCAATTCATAACTTTCCATCTCCTTTTGGGGTGGGAGTTATATTCAGCAAGTAGACTTAAGTGTTTGGGTGTTCTGCGATGAGAATGATGAATTTTTCTCACAGCATGAGTGCCCCTTGAAGCTCTTTTCAATGCTAAGATTTAGGAAAAGTCAACTTCAGTTAAAAACTCTCCCTCTCCTTTGTCTGATTTTCTTTCATCCTCCCATATCCTGCCCTCTCCTCTCCCATCCCCTGTTTTCTCCTCCCTCCTCTTCTTTCATTCACTGTCAGGAAGGGCCATCTGCGAAGGGCCAGTTCAGCACAACTCGGCGCCGGCAGAGGCTAGCAGCAGCAGTGGCTACAACAGTGAGTGGATTTCAATCTCACGTGGATGTTTAATAAGAATGAGAAACTGTGTATGAGTGTCACCTCTCCTGTTCTAATGGAGCCACTCACCTGCGACGGCATCAGCTGTAGCCCGCTCCTGTGTTGGCATAGCTTTCGCATGTTTTCTGGCTGTCTTTGCATGTCAGGAGTCGCACAGGGTATTCGCGTTTGCGGTGGAAAACTATTGCATATTCCAGTTCTCTACTTCGACTATCAGTGTGAGAAATAATGTAAATTCAAGGCTGCAAAACTGAGTACAGCTCCCTGTGGTGTGGGATTTCCTTAAATGATATTGTTATTTTTTTGCCATACTGATATTGGAACCTTTGCTAACTGACTTCTGTTTTTCTAAGAAAACTCATGTTACTAGAGACATAAATTGTGCTTTTTTTTGTAGCAATGTGACTATTTGAAAAGGATGTGAGAATAAAGAAATGAGAGAGTAAGAAAAGGTGAATTTTGATGTCATCTCTAAATGGCTACCCAAATTACACTTAGCAAGGGAAAATTGTTTTCTAGAAAGAATATTGAGCTGAAAACCAGCAAATATAGTCTGGAAAAGAGAAAACCACAAAGTTAAATGGTGTTTAATCCATATATAGAGGTTGGTTTGGCTTTTTTTAAAAAGAGAAAATAGGATGGATATTAGGAGAATAGAGGAAGTATTGAGATAGATAAGACAAATAACCAAAATTTAAAATTGAGTAGAAGGTGTTTAGAATAGTGAACTGTCCACGTGGAATATAAAGTAGAATATGTAAATACAAGAATCCTTTGCTGGATAAAAGTAAATCATAATATTTGCTTAATCATAATATCCTACCAGCTTTGTTAAATACAGAGTACTGAGTTCATAGCAATCATGGATGTTAGGTTTTTGGCTATTAGATAACATTTCCTGAATTAAGATTAGTCTTGCTCTTGCTAAGGTGGATAGAATTGCTGAAAAATATGAAAAGGTTTCAGTTGCATTGAGGGAGAATGGATACTGGTGCGAGGATTGTTGGTTTTCTACCTCTTGATTAGTGACTGATTCTTGCTTTACATCTGGATGCTCAGCTGGACTGTTTGAGAGAGAGAATTGCTTTTGATTATGAAATGAACCAGTGACTTGGAATTTATTAGGGAACTGACTCTTAAACTCACAGTTTTGTGAACATTTGAACAAACAAATTATTAAAATTGAGTTCCTGGTTAATGTATATCTTAGGCACGTATTCAAATGCAGATGGATAAAGTATATGACACTGACATAGTCACAAATTCTGACAATAGATGCATGTAAAATCAGTTAAATAAGTCTTAAATGTAATCTTTGCTTTATAAAATTCAGAAATCCAAATGATTATTAGAGAAAGAACAGTATCTCAGTATGGAAAGAAAAGATCAATCATTTTATGAAAATACTAATGTTTTCTTAAGTAATGTACTTCTAAGATGGCATGCAGGGAAGTGATTGCGTTTCTACTGTGTTCATTTTTTAATTGCAGATACATATAGCAAATATAATAAAACTAGGATTAGAACCTATTTGAATTGAATGGGTTTATATTTTTTTAAATTGGGAATAGGAGAGAGAAAGCTTTTAAAAGAGGAAAGTATTAATGCGAACCTCCCAGGGTAGGTGTGACCACAGAAGTTAAGATTAACTTAGATGCATCTAATGAGAAGAGCTGGCAACATTTGGTCATGTATTCAGCAATAGCTAGAGGGAATGGTTACTCTAAACTCTCTGGAGTTTATAGCTTTAACTCCATACCAGAGCATAGCGACATCTAGCAGGACCCTCAGCTGGGTCCCTTGGCCCCCTCACCCACATCTTAGTGACCTGTTGCTAGAGACTCAGCTCCCCAGTTTCTTTTACTGCAGTGGTTCCCCTTAATTCCCAGTCCTTCCTCTTCCCAACACTAAAGTCATCGCACACATTTTGAACTTATTCTATCCTGCAGGTGCTTTTTACGTAGAATCCTTCCAAATGACTTCTAGTCACTTGTTTTCCTTGCCCACTCAGGTGTCGGGCAGCTGAGATTGCTCCCAAGGAAAAGTTCACCCAAGGAGAAGCTTCAGAGATTTATTCTTGTTTATGCTTAGCACTAGCATCTGGAATGGTTCACTTGCAACATCAGCCAGACCCAACAGAATGGGGGGTTGGAAAAAGGGAAACACTGGCCCTTCCCTTGGAAGAACCCTCAGAGTCCCGGTGCAATCAGTACTCCACACGAGGATCCCTGTAGGTAATGCAGAGTAACAACAGCAAGAGGCTTTTCACGTTGGCCCCATGAGTTGTATCCACTCAGTATCTACCTTAGATCTGCTGTTGTGTGCTCTCTTTTTCCTTCATGTTACAGTTGCTAAATTTCAGTGCCAATAGTTGCACTGTCAATCCATTTCTCTTTTGACTTATTTATAAACAGGTGTTAAAAGCATCTCCTAACATCCCCATTCCAAACTGCAGTTATTGGTACCAGAATGTTCCAGGATCAACCGTCCTCCCTGTTACAGGATTTCAAGGAAGCCTTGGCTTTCTTTCCTGAGCAGGGTGTAAAGGCTGAACCCAGCACTGAAGTTTCTCTGGTACAAACATGGAGAGCTATAGACAGCTTCCACTCCAGCCATCACTGACAGAGAACCTAGTTACCACTTAAATTTTTGAATCCCATAATACCCAAATTGATGAATAAAAAACTGAGCAAGTAAGTCCCCAGGCTGAAGAGATATTCAACCAGAGTTAGATTAATACATCTCAGTTTGTATTCTCAATTTCATTTCATGAGTTCTTCAATTAAAACCACCCATTCCATATACTTCTTTTAACAAAAAAGATATCAATATAAACATTTTCAGTCAGAAGTATATAAAAATTAGTTTTAAATTTCCCAAAGAGCTGTCTGATTGCAGTTTGAATAGAGCATTCCAAATCCTTTTCCCTGTAGGTTATATACGAAATCATTTTTACTGTTTTAATTGCCAATTTACACTTCCATTATGTTCAAAATATAAATGTGTAACTTATGTTTTTCTTCTCGGTGTCTGATTCCAACTTTTAATTGAGAAGTCATTATCTCAGGGACAAGTCTGGGTCCTTACTGGACTCTCTGGGCCTCTACTGCACTATGGCCTCCCGTCACAACCTCTCCCCAGCCTCCCTACCCACTCAAAGGCAGAGACCCTTCTCCTATGCCATGCCAGTCCTCAGAGTGTTGAGGGCACCTGGGCACAGATAAAACCCTTTTCCGTGATCCTCAACACATTACAGTCCCCATCACCAAACACCCACATTTCTTTTTCTCAAATTCTCTTCTCGTTCCTTGTATCGGGAAACCATATCCTTAAATCTGAAAACTCCCTGGTCTACCCATTTCCTCAAGTCATAGTCTCTCCCCCTGACCTCCTCATCTCCACCAACTTATGGGACTACTCTTTCTAGATTTAGTATCACTACAGTTAAGGTCAGAAATTTCCTTTATCTATCTTCAAGTATTCTTCCACATAAATCCCATTCCTTTATAGGCATCCTAAAAAGACTTCAGTCATTGTTATCACAAAGTTACCTGGACAGGATTCCAGCAAATTCTTGAGCCCAAGGACTCCATTTTCTCAAATGCCTTATCTGTCACTTTTGTGTCTCTTTTTTGGAATAGCTATAAATTCTGATCCTGATGAGATAAACGAGCTGTTGATATCTCCCAGCCCAGTGTAGCCAAGATCTCCATGGAGGACCTCCCTCCATTCCTCCCTCCCTCGCCCCTTCTTCCCTTATCTTTTTCTGTCATGAAGTTTAAACTAAATCAAAAAATGAAAAAAAGAAAGTGGTTGTGACGTACATATACATCAGGCGAGACATTGGTTCCTTTCTCCTACAGTGTATTTCATGTTAGACAGAGGGTGTGAATTATCCTTTAATTTATACGAAATTCAGCTTGTGGAGGAGTCTAAAAATCTAATTCTTGAAGATAATTGAATGAACATCTACACAGGAAGAAATAGGGGAGGTTAATGGTGATCTGATTTACAAGAGGAATTGGTATTCTCATTTTCCAAGAATGGCTGGCAGCATTTGTAATGGTAGAACCTTCTAGAAAGAGAGGGAAAGGTGCTTTGCCTCCACCCATCACAAGCCTAGCCCAGATCCAGCCTGGGCACGGAAGTAGCTCTAGCCATTTGGGAAAATCTATAGTAATATGACTTTTTTTACTTAATGATTTTCAATATTGGCCAGTTCATAAGCCATGTTCAGATATGTAGCAGAGTTGTATGTAACATACAAAGGTAAACTACAGTAATTTATATATTTCATTTGCAAATATATTTTAATAAATCAATTTCAAATTTAATTGTGAGACTCTTTTAAGCCATTATTATATTTACTATTAAACTTTATGTTTTATCTAATGGCCACGGAGCAAGTGAATCTTTCTGTATATGCGCCTCTTGAATTTTTACCTGTTCCCTAAGCTCTAGCTCCAGGCTCAGAAAGAAGTGAGCGTAAAAAGAACTCTGACACAAGTGCTCAGACTTTCTAAGAGAAGGTCAGCTACATCGCAGTTCAGACTACTGTTTTCTGCCAGTAATTTTTTAAATACAACTGTGGATTTAGAGCTGAAGCTTATCTGGGATTATGCCTTTTTGTCATGTCATTCTGTAGTCATCTCTCCCTGTAACAGTGAGAAGCCCGTGAGACAGTGGCAGTACTAAATCAACTATGGGAAGTGAGACTCCTTCCCACCCCAACCACCTGCAAAATAAATGAGTACTGAGTGTCTCCAAGTGTGTCATCAGAGAGGAATCTATTATTCTGAAGAAGGGAAGAGATCTTTTCCGTGTAAGAGAATGTGGAACAATGCACTGTTGCTCTTTAATAATTTGTATCTCCCCCTTTCAGGTTCCTTTCAGTGCTACCATGTCACCAGTTCGCTTGCACTCCTCCAACCCCAACCTTTGTGCAGATATTGAATTTCAGACTCCCCCTAGCCACCTCATTGACCCTCTGGAAAGTTCAACGGATTATACAAAGCTTCAAGAAGAATTTTGTCTAATTGCACAGAAAGGTAACAACAAATATCACGTGCCCTTTCGAGAAGCTCCCTTCTGTGATGCCAGGTTGCCATTTGCTCTTTTATCCTTGTCTCGGGGTCATAGTAGAAAGATCAAATGGTTTCTATACTGTTTGGAGTTCTATATACAAAACGCCACAGGATATGATGCCTCTCTCTTGGGAGAACACACATCGTAGGTTTACAGTTTTGACTGTATAAAGAAAGTGTCATTGAGGAGGGAAAAAAGGAAGAAAGAGAAAGAGTTATCCTGGGCAGGTCAGCAGACACTACTACTCAACATGTTTTTTTCAGTGCCTTTTAGTTATCATTTAATACATACTTGTGGGTTATGCTTAGCAAGGAAAAAAGAAATAGATTCTGTTTGAATCTTTCTCTGTTTCTATTCAACAACACTCATTGATTGTAGCTTACAATCATTGTACAATTGTAGTTTGTGGGTCAGAGATCCAGACAGGGCTCAGGTAGGCAGTTCTTCTGCATACGTGGCATTGACTGGGCTCGCTCGGTGGTGTTTGGCTGGAGGTTAGGCTGGGCTGAAAGGTCCAAGATGGCTTCACCCATGTGCCTAGCACATTGCGAGGGTGGCTGCAACACTGCACATGGCTGTGTCCATCTCCCTCTCCATGGCAGCTCAGGAATCCAAGAGAATGGAATGGAAGCTGCCAGTCCTGTTCAAGGTCAGCTCTGGAATTGGTGCAGTGTCACTTCCACTGCACTCTACTGGTCAGAGCTTCACAGACCAGTCCAGATTTGCGGGGAGGGGAAATCAACCCCACCTTGGAGTCTTTTTTAATGTTAAATTTTCAATAAGACATGTTGCATAAGCTCAATTGTTGTCATCAGCCACAGAGAGTAGGGTTTAATAAATAAGAAGCAAGACAGTAGAGTGTAGGTGGACTGAGCAGTCCTGTCTGCATTTACCGGGAAGAGCCTCAGCTCCCAAATTAACACCCTCCCCCATTTATTGCTGTAGTATTTAAATTTCAGACACTGAAATTCATTTTTTGACTTAAGATAATACCTTCCCAGACATTGTCTTTCAAAATGCATAATCTTTTGGAGAAAGATATACATTATGTTGTTTTCAGTCACTAAGACCTTATTATGAATTAATCACATATGTTTCCCCTGAGGCTGCTGGTAATAGGTTATAAAATATTCTTGAAAATGTGTGTTAAATGGAATATCTCAAGTGTCCCTGTAATACTCAAGAGCCTGGTGGCTCAGAAAAAGAAGGGGCGCACACTGAGGGCATCTCTGGGAAGTCAACAAAAATCTCTACTCTCAAGCCATCAGCAAAGATGTGCTATCAGAAATTTCTTTAATTCCATAATCCTAAAACAATTAAGCTAAATCATCTTCTCCTTTTTTTGTAGATTTCTCCATTGAGATTCTGTAAAGCCAACTCTCTTTCATCTACTATTTTACTCCTAATACATTTTTATTAAATTTCTTAGCTGGATGCTAATTATGTCACTAGACTGGAGCAATGTTATTTTGTTTATATAACAGCATAGATTTGTGGCCAGTAAAGCCAGTAACATTCACTTCTAATGAGGGGCAAGGGGATTGTAGGAGCAGGTAGAACGAGACAACAGATGTGAGAGTGAAGTATAGCACAGCTTCTAGAGGGAGATGGATCAATTTGAAGGCAGCCCCAGGAAAGCTTTGTGTATTTGGTTGCAATCCTGAGGCTTTCAGGAATTCCAAGTTTCAACAGAATTTTAAAGCCTCTGTTGAAACAACATATTTTCTTTTCAACTATGTTAGAAAAAAAGGGCTTGTCTATTGAGAGAACTCTTTAGAAAGAATTATGGGTTTTGAAATGAGTGAGAGCCTGCTTTTAGAGCTGCCAGTGGGGTTAATGTATTTCAGCTATCAAGTTATTACCTTTAAATTGATGATGCCTGGAATGTAACACATAAATCAATAGATTGTGAGTCCCTTGTGATCCCGCCATTTTATCCCCTTTAATTCAGGCCACTGTTTTGTGTTAAAAATTTCTACTTCTTTAAAAAATAACCTTTCTCAAATAAGGAAATCCCTATTTTAGAAGACTTTGCATATTATAGAAACTGTTATTATAAAGATAGGAGTTGGAAATTCAACGTTTTGTATTTCAAAATTAAAGACTGCCTTGGATTTTACCAATGTGTCTTGTTAGGCATGCAAAAAGGGGGGGATGTTGTTTTTATTATTGCTTTTATTTTGCTTTATTTTATTTCCAGCTTTATTGAGATATAATTGACATATAACATTGTGTAAGTTTAAGGTGTACAGCATGTTGATTGATACACTTATATGTTGCAAAATGATTACCACCATAGCATTAGCTAACACCTCTATCATATCATATAATTACCACTTTTTGTGGTGAGAACATTTAAGATCTACTCTCTTAGCAACTTTCAAGTATATAATACAGTATTATTAGCCATAATCACCATACTGTACATTAGATCCCCAGAATTTATTCATCTTATAACTGGAAGTTTGTACTCTTTGAAAGCACTTCTGACATCAAGATGCTTCTGGCTGAGAAAGTAATGCAAGTGCTGTTCTTAAGACCAAATCATTTCCTGCCTCAAAGAGAACTAGTTAGAACTTCTAAATAAGCCACCTGTTTTATGTTGGCAGGACTCATGGCTCTTTTTTGGGTGCACACTTTTGGGAAATAATTTTTGGATAGTTCTACATCATTTGTGTGAGACTTCATTGTACACAGAACTGCTCAAATATTCTCATCAACTATGGTAGAGTAAAACTTGTTCCCTTTTCCTCTAGGAATTATAGATTAATTTCTAAATATTGATATTTAGAATTGATATTGATATTTTATATGCTGCTTCCGAGTTTTTGTTGGCTTGTCTGGTATGAAATGTTAAAATCTTCACCCTGATTAATTACCATTACCATATTTGTTCTGTGTATAGATATTCTGATAGATTCCATTTTAAGGCTGATTTTTAATTTGACTGTAACATAACCTTTCCAGAAAATGTCTATGCATGAGTTAAAATGCTGAGAAGTTTATAATTTTGTATATTCTTTCTGGATCCATTTAATCTTTGTTTCTCACTTTTTTCCCCCACCTAGTGCATTCTCTTTTGAAGTCTGCGTTTAATAGCATAGCTATAGAGAAGGAAAAGCTTAAGCAGATGGTTTCCGAGCAGGAACACAATAAAGGCCACAGCACACAGATGGCACGGCTCCGACAGTCACTGTCTCAGGTAAACGAGAGTGTGTGTTTCACGCTCATGACACATTCCCAACCCTGTAAGGTAAAGGATGGGGGTGGAGGCGGTCGGTCATGGAGATGGCACATTCATCTGAAATTCTCCCAAGACATTGCAGTGTCAGTATTACACTTTATTACTTTTCTTCCAAAAAATGTCCAGGTAAGAGCAAAAATCAACCGAACTGCAAACATACAATTTTCTTTTTGGCTGATTGAATACTTTTAATGCCTCTTTATGGTCGTTTATAAGGCAATCCCTGGTTTTAAAAAAAGAATCATGTGTGTATACATGATTTACGCATCTAAAATATGTTCCATAATATGCCTAATCAAATGTTAAGTAGAACAAAATCTACTAGATTTCCACACTTAATATTTTTCCCACTTACAATACATTTTAATCTGTTGAAAATTATTGATTACTATTATCTATTTTTTCTTTTCTGGTTTACACACTTAGGGTTTCCTTCCTATCTAAGTTATGCTCCCTGAAGCTAGACTTTTATATTTTAAAATATATTATACATTACAATATATATTAATCAATATATATTTATTATACAGTATTCAATATATATTATATTGATCTTATTAATACTAATCAAATCCCTATGTATATCAAAGTTGAAATTTCTGATAAAAAGTCTATAAAACTGTACTTATGCTTTTTTACACTAAGCCCTTCCTCTGAAATATTTTCTTCATCTAGTCTATAAATGCACTTTTAAAAATTCCTTTAAGAATTCAATGTTGTTATGTGATTTTGTATGAGAACTCAGTGTTTATATAAAATATCATTCACTTCCTGGTGCCTTGGATCAGAGTGAAGGAGCAAGCAAATCCTGGGTAAGTGGTTTTCCATGTGGATCAGCTCCTGCTTGGATAGTTTCCCTTAGTTCCTAAAAATTAGACTTAAAGTGTCTCACCATGTTTTACATAGCTGAACTGTCAGCTTATTTTCAACATTAAGTTTTATGCTATTGAGTGCTGTTATCTGGGCTACAGTTTCTGCGTTCACCATAAAACAGTTGAGGTGCATATGCTGCTTCCAGTGCAAAACTAGGGACTCGGGAGCATGGGCATTCAAAGCAGTAACTGTTGTGCCGATCTGCAGAGGGCTTTCTTCACAAGCACACTTGAATGGTTTGCCCTGGACTATTCTCATGTTATGGAACTGTTGAACGGTCAGTCCATATTAATTGATCTTCTGAATCATTATTCTGAAAGTATAATGAATCAGAAAGATCAAAATAATGTTTAGGTAAACATGCAAATGTCACTTTGTAAATATGTCATCTTGTCCCCCTAAATGTTGCAATGTTTCCTTCAGTTGTATTTGATGATGGAGGCTTAGTAGTATAACACAAGCTTGTACCAAGAAAAATAAGAAAATTTGTTTCTTGCTTGCTTGCTTGCTTGCTTTTATTTGCTTGTTGCTAAGACAGAGAATGGTAAATAGAGATCTAGGTTGGGGCATCAGGTGAAATTAAAAATGATGATGAAGAGGGGCTGCCCCATGGCCTAGTGGTTAAGTTCGGCGCTCTCCGCTGCGGCGACTCAGGTTCAGTTCCCGGGCGCGGACCTATACCGCTCATCGACGGCCATGCTATGGCAGCAACCCACATAGAAAATAGAGGAAGACTGGCACAGATGTTAGCTCAGGGCGAATCTTCCCCAGCAAAAAAGCAAAAAACAAAAAACGATGAAGAGAAATTTTAAAACAGTTATTCATTTGTTCATTTCAGTCAATTGACTATATATTAGGTACAATGCAAGGTGTGGAACACCAAGATAAAAGTAGCTCTGGCTGCGTTCCCAGGAAGCTCATGATCTGATTAGTGAGACGAGCAGTATTTACTCAGGCAACAGTTAAATGGACCATGCTGTAGTCCATTCAGAGCAGCACATGGGTGGTGCAGATTTCCAGGGCTCTGGTTGTTTGTTTGGAAGAATGGGAGGTCCCTGAACTGTGAGCAGAGCCACAGGTCAGGCTTCATGGAGGAATCAAGCCTTGAACTGGGCCGGAGTAGACAGCAGCGGCTCGTGAGGAAGGACCTGATGCTAATGTGATAAAAGTAAAATAAAGCAAAATTGTTTCAACTTTGCATCTTTGGGGTTAAATATTTCCTTCTCTTGTCAAAACATATTTATTTGCATCTAGATTTAGAGCCTCAACAGATTTTTCTTGGGTTTTTTTTTTTGGTTGTTATATTTATTTTTTAAACCAAAAAGCTCAATTTTATCCTCAAAAGATGTGAAAATAATTTGGTACTATAAAGATAGCTTATCCACTAGAGAATTCGGTGCTTCCAATTGTGTATTATCTCAGCATTTTGGCTAATTTGAATTCTTGTGTTTGTCCATACCCTCCCACTGGGCCAGTAATAACCTCACTGGCCATCTATTCCCATCACTTCCGAGGCTGGACTCTCTTTGAAATCACCACGGCTTTGGCTTAGGCATTTAAGTTTACTGACAGTTCACTCCTTTCTAAGGAATCACTATCCATGGTTAGACCAATAGAGAAGTGTCTAGAGAATTGCAGTTAGTTCGTAGTGGCTTAGCATGGGGTGAACAAAGAAGAATTAATCTAGGAGTAGCTAGTTCAGTAGGTGGGAACCAGCTCATCAGGGACCACGTGGAGGAGTTTAGATTTATCTTATCAGTGATACGGAGGCCTTAAAGAATTTTAACGAATGAGTGAAAATGCCAGAAATTGAAAATATTACCACATACTTCTGTATATTAGAAAGATTACTCTGGTACAGTGTGGAGGATGGATGGAATTCAGACAAAACTAGTTGAACAGACTGTTATGATATAAGGCAGGCCTGATCTAAGGAAGTGCCAGAGTTCATAGAAGGAGAGGATGGGTTTCAAAGACACTGAGCGAGGACTGTCAGCATGGCTTGGAGATCGACTGAATATTAGAGAGAGACAAGGAGCCAGATTCAAGACTACTTTTCAGGTTGTTTACTTGGATAACTAGGTAAATGATAGTTCTTTTCCCCAAGAGAGGAAATATAAGAGGAACTGATTTGTCAGGGGTAAATAAAGAGTGGTTTTTATGGCGACTGAGGTGTCTGTGGGACATCCAACAGACAGTTAGAGATATAGATGTAGGGCTCAGGAGAGAGGTCTGGGCTAGAGAAAAAGATGTGGATGCCCCAGTGTATCGGTGAAGTTATAGATGTTGATAAATTCTGTTTTCAGTCAGAATAAAAGAGGGTCAATGTACTGCTATAGAGAACATTAATATTTAAAGGAAAGGCTAAAAATAAAGATCCTTTGGTGGAGACCGAGAGGAAGCAGCCAAAGAATTTAGATAGTGATGACCATTGAGACTGAGTGTAAAGAGTTTAGATAGTCTCAAGAAGGAAAAGGTGAACAGAATCTGATTTAGCAGCAAGTAATATACGGACTGAAAGTCAACCTTAGAATTTGCAGTCATCTCAGCTTGTTTGTATCGTGAGGGGAAGGAACCAGCAGATAAGGAGACACTGAAGATGGAAAACAGTTAACTGATGGAGCCATCCTGATTGGCCAACTCTATTTTCACTGTCCCTCTTTTAATACAGCACTTAGGACTGAACAAGATACTAAATAGCTTGAGTACATTGAGACAATTGTTCTGAGGATCTTTTTTATTAATATAACTTCACCTTATAGTGTGATTTCAGGTAGCCTAAAGACATCTTTGATCCATATTCAAGTGTCATCAGTTAAAAACTCAGATTTTTTTTTTATGACCAATTACCAAGTCAAGTCTCCCCCCAGAGAGGGAAGGAGACACTGTGTTTAAATAACTTCTTGAATTAGTCTAACATTTTTAAAGCATATTTCTTTATTTTATGTAAGTCCTATTTGATATATGTCTAATGGTTAAAATGCCACTTTTTCGATAAAGCTTTTAAGTATATCAACTTGGCAAATTCCATCATCCTTTCAGAAGGCACACAGCATCTAAAATATATAAAATTAGCGTTCTTCACTAGGTACTCAGCATAAATTGTTACTTGCCTTTGGCGTGTAATAATTTGCAACTGAACAGGATAATGAATTCCTCTTCTCAAGTGATACTTCTTCCCTGATCTATAAGTACACAAAGACATACATAATTCTGTTATTTTACCTCCATGAAACTTTAAAAGTAACTTTCACACCTGAGAAGCAGTATAGATGTTGGATTCGAGCCTTTAGGACAGGGCATTTTATATGCCATCCATCCCTTTAGAAATGACTTTATTTCACAATGGCTGTAATTTCACGTCCCATTTAATGTAGTACCCTGAACACGAAAATCAAATAGTATATAATAAGACTAAGGTAACCTCAGCAGACCAGATTACTATGATAATAAAAGATTCGACTTGACTTGAGTCTGTCTTCAATACATTACACTTTTGTCACTGTTACTAGTTTGATTTCTGGCCCCAGAATTTGTGCACAGCTGTGCTAAATGCCGTGGGTATTGGGTCCATACAAATGTGAGCGGCAGAATATGACCCTTGTACTCCAGCTAGAATTACTGTATTTCATTAAATCAGTATGCCATCAGGTGTTAGATGTACCATCATGTTGTGCATTACTAAGAAAGAAGAAAACTGCTGGTAATTAAACTGACACAGTGCTTCAGAGGTGTTAAATGTGCGAGGAAATGTGCATCTTAGAATCAACAAAGTATGATATGTTTGAGAATGTAAGCAAAAAATTGGCTTAAGGCACACAGTAGCATAATTAAAGTCCCAATCATAGTACTTACCATCCCTCCTACCTACAGCAATTCGCATATCCAAAATAAATATTCAGTGGTGGGATGAAAGTTCCAAGTGTATTTGTTTATTCCTGAATTCCACAATTCCCTGACACTTGGCCAAATTTGTTCTGTACAAAGATATTCTTCACAGAATCCTTTACATCTTTTTTTAGCTATCCAGTAAATTCAAATTGATGTCATTTTGGACATAATTTGGCAATATTTATTAAAGCCTTAAAAAGATTTCATCCTTTGACCCTTTAGTCCATGGCTGATATGTCTAGTCTAAGGAAGTAATGCTGAATGTAGAAAACCATTATGCACATAAACATTCATGGCAGCTTTATTTATTCTAGTAAAAATCAGTAACAGCCTAAGTGCCCAATAATAGGAAATAATTGCTTATTATGCCACTATTAACATTGTATTTGTAAGGAGTTTGCAACATAAATGTTTATGTGCAAAGAATAAGTGGCAGACACAGGATGTAAAGTATGTACCCATTAAATAATGTGAAAAATGCATAGAAAAAAAAACCAGAAAGAAATATACCAAGCTACCAACAGTTGACTGATTAGGTAGTAACATATGAATTTTTAAAAATATTTGTCAACTTTTTGCATTTTCCAAATACACTATAATAGTATGTATTTATTTTAAAAGCGGAAAACAAGGTGACTTTTAAGAGAACCCCAGGATTTGGTTCTTGATAGCCCTAGCTTTGACGGTTTCCATGCTCATTCTCTCACTCCTTTGGAACCAGTTTGCTTTTATCCAAAGGGTTTAAGTCTCTGATGACTCCATCTTACCATATGTTTCATATCCTCCTCCGGCCATCAGGCTTCCTCCCGTGTTTACTTCCCAGATCCCACAGTTCCATTCAGTAAAACGTATATGCCAGAGTCTCACCCAGTCTAAGATAAATTCTCACCCATTGTCTGCTTGGGTGGATGAATGGTAGTTAATAGCCAGGGAGGTGGGGATTTGGGAATTGATTCGGGCTCAGATCTTCAGATGGTAACTTCTTTTATAGATAGAGAAGGAATTGTGTGTTTCTTGAATATATTAGATTTGAATGTGTATGAGGGATGTGAGGCGTTGGGGAAATGAGCATACCTTATGGAGAGTTTTTAGTGCAGTTCGAGCTCGCTAATGAAAGAAAGTAGTGAAAATAAGCATAAAACCTGCCTGGTGAAGAATCTAGGCACAGCTCCTGAGCCTCCCTGTTAGGCCTGTGGTCCTGTATGACACTGATAGACCAGTGTTATTACTGACAAGTCTCCATAGCTTTTCTTGCTCGTTGGCTGGCACGAGTGGCTGGTGACCTGCCTCCTTTTTCCTTGCTTCGCCACTGTTCGTGCTCCTTGGGTGCATTCCGTATGTTGTTTCTGCCACTATCTGGGCTCTTCTGTGTTAATTATCACTAATAGCATCATTTCACTGAAAATACCTATATTCTTCAGTGTTCTCAGGGATGTTTTCATGATATTATTACAGAGGAAATAGTTGAGTTTCAGGGAGGGAAATAATAAATGTGGTCCTGAGCACTGCCTGAGAGCACTGCACCACAAAGCTCATGGCGCTTGGTTGTAGCAAACTTGAGAAACAGTCTGTATGATCGAGGCAAAAGAGGAGCAGCCCGGGTAAGACACGCAGAAAAGGGCTGCTGCATGCTCGGTTGTCTGCTGACACTCTCTGCCGTTGCAGCTGCCAGAGTTGGAAAAGTATTTATTTCCATGCTTTTTTGTGCTATGTAACAACTTTTTTCTACCACTGCATATATATTATTAACAAAATATTCCTTTTAAACTTTTAGCTCATTCCTATTGATATTAATGGCTGGAGGTCACCTTGTATGCCTTCGCACACACCTGTAGGCAGGATCACATTTTATGAATACTGGATGAGATGAGAGCTGACACGAGAATTTAACTTTTTTAAATATCCAGAACAAACAATTCTACAGCTTTCCTTATCAATGGCAAACTCGTGTTCCACCCTGAGGAAAGCTGTTACTTATCCTTGCCCTTGAGTTTTTGTGGGGTTGTTTCATTAGTTCAGTTCTGGTGGCAACAGAAGGGTGCAGTCACTTTGGAGGAACCACTAGTTGAGGTTTATATGAAACCCTGAGGTCAAGGCTGTGATTCTGCAATTAAAACCATCAAACAACTTACCATGAGGTCTCCTACTTCCAAAACAGCAAAATATATCTGGTTCCCATTATTTCAGTAACTAAGACAACTTTCAATACACTTGTGGACAGAGAAATAATGAAAGAACAAATAGGCATATGTATTATTATATACAAATAAGCATATATATATAGGTCACAAAGGATAGGATTAAAACAGTATTTTTTTTTCCAAATTCCAAGTGTCTGAGATTTTGCTCTAAGAAAAATGATCCTGAGCACTTTTGCAGAAAGTAAAGATTTTAGGATTCTTCCTTTGAAGTGTGTTTTTTGTTTTTGTTTTTTTGTGAGGAGATCAGCCCTGTGCTAACATCTGCCAATCCTCCTCTTTTTTTTTGCTGAGGAAGACTGGCCCTGGGCTAACATCCATGCCCATCTTCCTCCACTTTATATGGGACACCGCCACAGCATGGCTTGCCAAGCAGTGCGTCTGTGCGCGCCCGGGATCCAAACCGGCGAACCCTGGGCCGCCGCAGCGGAGCACGCGCACTTAACTGCTTGCGCCACCAGGCTGGACCCTCTTTGAAGCATGTGTTTTATTTACTAAAAAAGTAATCACCTTTTTTCTAACACATCCCTACTTTCTCATAGAACTGGACACATATTTCCTCCTCTCTGCAAATGTGATGACTGTAGGACCCGTATCCACCTTTAATCCATCAATACTTGACGTCCCACCAGACCGAGTGTGTTATGTGTGGCACATATTTTACAAACTGGTTGTAAGGACTTTAAACAAAAGCTGAAAGCTGTGAGTGAACAATTTTCTCCTCAAAAAAGCAAAAGCTGAGTTCAAGCGAGAGAGGAGAGTGTGTTCTGTGCTCCATGCTCAACAGCTGTGCACTGCTCAATGGGAGTGTGAAGTTTAGCCACTTTGTAATTCATCCTGGTTGTTTTAATAGGTACAGAGTTACAATTATGATATTAAATTTGTGTATGTATCAGTTTACTGTATGCATTGACTCCATATGAAGAAAAGCAGAATGCCCATTCCCTGGGGCAGATGCCCTCATCGCTAAGTCTTGACATTCATCTCCACTCTCTAAAACATTCACTTCCATCTCCTAATTGCTGATTTTAATGGGAAGGAAAGGAGCTGTCCAGCTTTTCACTGGGCCTTGTCCTCACAAAGGGCTTTTACTTGAGACTGGATGTAATTCCAGTTAGCTACATCATGTATATGGAACATGTTCCCATGCATCAGTGTGATGCATGTACCTTTGTCCACAGGGCCCTATAGGGAGACCATGCTTATGTAAAGCTGTTCTCTTCTCGTCGCACACACTAAACTCTTATAGCAGATCGTGTTTGATGCTGACTTAAGGTGTGTTGAAAGTAGTGTGATGCAGATAACTTGGAGTTAGTTTCCTTTTCGTGTCTCATTCATTATGCTTTTCAGTGTCTGCATTGCTCAGTGAAGGCACCTTTTGGCCTGCACTGGAGTTAATTCTGCTACACCATCATATGTATTAATTATGTGCGTTAATTATAATTTATGTATAAAATATAAAACCAGTTCATTGTTCATTCCGTTTCCAAATAATTTTTAAGATAACTATCTGGCTTTGAAACAACTCCCAAACTCTAGAAACCAGAACAAAAAAAAATGAAAGAGTCAATAGTTTTTATCCCAGGGTGTAAAATGTAATATATATGTGGTGGTAGACTGGGCTTGGATGTAATGGGCCTGACTCTAAGGGAGAGAAAATTCCATGAATCATTTTTATGAAATCCATGAACTCTTTCAACCCTCTAACCTACTAAGTAGTAGTCTTATATGACAAAAAAATGAATACCTTAATTCTGAGCCATTTATTTCCTTCTTACTGGTAGGATTTGGCCTATGATGACTCCAAAAGTTACAGCTAAGAATATCATAGACTTGGTTGTCTAAATTGTACCTGTCTGCTTGCTCTGTTTTATGCTTGCTTATCTATTTGAAATTACATGTGCAATTTTTGTCATTTTAAGGCACTCAACCAGAATGCTGAACTAAGGAGTCGGTTGAACAGAATACATTCAGAATCTATTATTTGTGATCAGGTTGTCAGTGTAAATATTATTCCTAGCCCTGATGAGGTAAGACTCATTTTTAATAGATGTCAAGTACTTATTTTATAGCATATAAATCTGCATATTTTTGTTTATTTTTATACAGGTCTTTCACTGTTAATAAGATTTCCTGCATAAATATTTGTGTTGCTGACAGTTCAGTGTTCTTTGTAGTGAAGGATGTACATAAGCCTGACATCATTTATTAATGGTGATCAGTGTCTATTTTTATTTATCCCTGTGTTCACCTGATGCCACTGAGTGTTTACTTTATATATACCCCAGCTTGTGAATTTTCTGTCTGTCTCAGTCTTCATTTGAAATGTTCATTATCATCAAATGACTCATGAAATGTTGAAAAAGCATTTTTGGTTGAGAAGGTGCTAAATAATAGTTTTCTTAAGGTTTGTTTTAAAAGCCCCATCTAAGGAGAGAGGCTACCTGACCTTGCTAAGATAATACTAATGGTGCTGCTACAGCTACTGCTGATGATGATGAAAATAATTAATGGCTAACGCATGTCAAGTAAATGCTTACTGTGTGCTAGGCATTGTGCTAACCATTTTACATAAGTTATCTCATTTGACACTCGCAACAACCCTCTGAGGTAGGTGCTATTATTATTCTATTTTTCAGAAGAGTATTTGAAGAAATGGTAAGAGGATAGGAAAACATTCAGTATTTGGTCTAAACTTAAATGTGTAGTTGTGTTTATAACCCTTTATAAAATTATTATTTTATAGTCATGAGAATTTACACTTTTCAACAGTAATGTTAGAGTTTTATATACAGTGATACATGTAACAAGGTGAGAGTTTTAACTAATACTGAGGTCATATTTGCACCAAAAACATGCACTTTTCTAGACATCTACAGGTGCAAGGGTTCTACCATCTAACTGCTTAGGAAATACCATCCCAAGACAGCTTCTCTTTGATTGAAGTTGCCCACCCTATGTCCCTTCACCTCCATGGGTCCCATGATCTCCGATGACACTTATGCTCACTCAATTGCCCAGAATCTAGAAGTATTTCTAAAAACTTTATCATTTAAAAATTAGTTAACAGTCTCAATTTGAATCTTCTTTTCAACCTAAAATGTGTACT